GTTAACATTAGAATGGATATTTAAATTTAATTTTGTTTGTTTATATCGTTGCGCATATTGTTACCATGTTTTTATTTAAGTAAAATTTATTCAAACTTAATAATTGTAATCTGAACCGAAATACACAATTTAGAAAAATAATTCAGGTTGTTAGGAATCAACTAATAATGCGTACCAAACTTGTTATATGAAAACCGTATTAGATTTACAAAAATTAACTTAATTACTTACACATTTTGAGAACGATTTATGTTTTTGCTGGCAAACTAGTGGTCTTAGGAAAAAACAATAAGAGATAAAAGAGTTGGCACATAGCTTGTAGTAATTAACTAGATTATATCGAGAAAAGTTTAAGTGCACACAAAAAAGTTCTGAATAAACCAAAAGTAGGGGTTCCACATTTCTACCTTGTATAAAAGCAAACTGAACCACGAAACACTATCATAAAATGGCGCTCAATAGCTTATAAAGTATGCCCAAAATTGAAGTTTCTATGTTTAACCGTTTTAAAGGAAAACAACAAAAACTAATATTTTCCGCCACTTTTGAAATCAAATAACTCAACAACGAAACCTCAAATTAAAGAAATTCTCAAGAAGACCCCCTCCTTAAATGACTAGAAGAACACGCTGTTAGAATATTTTAACATACTTACGGAACACCCTGTATATCAGAATTTCTTTTGATTGCAATCTCCGAACCGAAAGTCCAATAAAGTATTTTCGCCAAAGGCATTTTTAATAAAAAATTGACAAAGACTAAAATTAAGTGTTGAGACATGAAACGAATTTAAAATAGTGATCGATAAATCAAAATTGCCGCTTTTCAGCTTCTATAAAATATTTGAATCCTAGATGTGTTTCCAAGTTTTCGCGTGTTTCAAAGGTGATTTTCGACGTATATTTTTAGATGAAATTGAACAAGATCTTTTCATTATTTACTTAGGTGTCTGTGTACTTATAAAGAGCCTCATATCATTTACAGTCGGTTTTTTCAAAGTTATCGTACACGCTAAATTAATAATCGATAAATAATTATATTAATAAAAATAATTTAATGACTAAAATTGCTCCCGATTTTTAATCGGTTGACTTTTGCAGATGAATTGGAAATATGAATGATCCTCACAGACTGTTTGAAAATAGTAAAGCAGTAATGGTTGACACAGAATTTAAGTTTTACACGACTTATGTTTATGATATTGGACTATTTAGACGCCCATGAACGTTGCCAATTTACTGGTCTCCTTACACACACTCAAGGTGTCGAATAGCTTTAAACAGCGGCGCACAGTTAGCCGATTTTTCAATAAATACTCATAGTTTTTAAAGGGACATTTACAATTTTTTTCCTAGAAAACCCAGAACAGAAAACAGATCTTGCAACCCAGGATTATTGGAGAAAATTGCAAAAAAGCGCAACTTGTAGGAAGTTGTGGGCCGCCATTGCCCAAATGAGTACAAATAGTCGTAATTTACATTATCAACACCAAAAACATAGGAAGGAAATAATAAAAAACAGTCCATATTTCTAAATTACATAAAATGAAACAAAATAGGGCAAAATCAATATACACAAAACTTAAAATGTTGCTAAAAACAGCCATTTTCTCATTAAGAAAGTTTTATCTAGTTGTAATTGTCATGCAAATCCAATAATAATTTCAACGCAGCTTCTTTGTTAGCTTTTATATATTTGTATGTTAATTATTTAATTATAGTAAGCCCTCGTATAATGTTAAATCGTAAGTACACTTTCTGAACCAGAACCGACATTGAATAACTCTCTTTTTTTAAAGAAAACGTATATGAAAACACAATTTAGTTCAAAATTGTTGCTTTTGACAAATAACGAGAAAATCTTTAAACATTGGAAATCGGAATGTTAGTTATGTTTGCGCAAAGTAGCCGCTAACTACTGTTTATTAGCCGATTAATTTTTGAAACTCTACCATTTTCAAAACTGGGGATCTCAAATATTTATCGGTTATAGAACACATATGGTCGAAAAAATACTGAAAATTTGAAGTAAATCGGCGAGCGCTTGGAGTTTTCAGAAATAGCAAACTCACCGCTGTACAGGCAATAGATTATTTTTCAGAGCATTTAATTTTTAGTTTAAAGTAAGCAGGAGCTTAATTTTTTTATAGTGTTTGGAAGACACTAGCGTGAGGCTTCAAATATTTCAGCCTTAAAAAGATAAACAGTTGAAGGTGCAACACTCAAAATTTGAAACCAATGCAATGCTGCAGATCAGCAAAATCTTTTTCCAAAATTTGTAGACCAAAGCATGCAGATAAGTATTTGCTGAACTTATTTTGAAAAGGCAATCGAATGTGTAAATTCTAGCAAACTGAGGCAGATTGCGTAGTAGGTTGAAAAATAAAAATTACGAGAAGGTACTTACTACTCGCGTACGTTTTGTGAATATGTATTTGCCTAACCAAAATAGAATCATGTGCGACTTTCTAACTTGGAATAAATTCATTAAAGCGAAGACAGATTTTTTGGAAATATGTACGGGCACGCCAATTAGTTTTTAAATTTTTCCTGTTTTTAAAGTAAGAAAATTGTATACAAGTTGTTTTCCATTTAAGATATGATTTTTTTGAATGGCAATCCCAATGCTTTTATTATTTAAGGGGCATGAATTTCTTGTAGTTTAGATCTTTTTTGTTGTTGCATACGGATGTTTCAACTGAATACTATTCTTCGAATTCTAGATGTTGAATGTGGGCTTTGTCTGCAGAATAACGACAATGTTTACGATTTTCCCCCATTTAACATAAACGTTGGTTCGTCAGAAAGTAGTACCTACATTGTGTATGTTTACAACATTTCTGTCTAGTAGATTCATCAATTCTTTGCAAAAATAGAGTTTTCCATCCAGATTATCTTCGGTGAGTTCATAGAGAAATAACACTATTCGAAGAATCAATCGGAATATTAATAACATTCAAAACCTAACAAGGAATCAGTGGCTGTTAAAAGGCAAAAACTTAAATGAAATTGAAAGACTTCTCTAAACTATCGAAGCAGAAAGTGTTGGAACTTGCTGGAAATAACTTTTTCTCCATCGAAATGATAATATCCCAATTAGTACCAGAGTTTCAATTAATTTATGCCATCCTAGAAAAACTAGAAACCGAAATCTTTTGCAAAAATTAATACCTTAATAACTCTATTATTAAGCCAAAATAAGAGTTAAATAAATAAAATATCTCCAAAAATCTTGCCAACAGCAAATTACCTTTCGAGTCTAAAGAAGAAAACATTCTTGGCATTGAAATAATAATTTAAATAAAATCCTACCGTTGCCGCTCTCTGAGTTAATGAGTTTCAACTCATCGGTTAATGAGTTATAACTCATTTACCTATGACCGAGACTTTTAGCATCTTACAAAAGGTCATCAACTCTTAAAAATTCACTGAGTTACCTTTTCTGTAGAAACGATTGCTTTAAAATATTTGGTCTAAAATAGAAAAACTCGGAAATTTTAAGGAAACTTAAAAACTCTTCAGGGCGATGAGGGTGACGAATTTTCCAAATAGGTTATTAAGCCATTCCAAATAGGTTATTAAATAGGTTAAGCTTTTGCTTTCTCTGATCGTTATTTGGAAAAACTTTGTTTTCTTCGAAAAAAAAAACAAGACAATTTTGTCCCAAATTCAAAGGTAAAACGGATATCCAAAAAAGACGATAAAGAAGACCAAAGTATAAAGACGACGAGTTTTCTGGTAAGATCGACCTCTAAATTTTTTGCAAAAAAGGCTCTTAGTTTGCCAGTTTTTAACAGAGAAACGTTAGGAAAAACGCGTTTTTCTGTTTGGAGAAAGATTTGTTTAGAAATATTGACCTAAATAAAAGTAAAGAAACCGGATTTTAAAAAAACCAAATTATTCACAGTTACGAAGATGACGCGTTTTCCAAATAATTGATTATAAACTTTCGCTTGTTCTGTTCGGGGAAATATTGTAGGGTAAAAATCCAGAAAAAAATATTAGGATTTTGTCCAAAATTCGAAGCTGCGAATGTTCTAGAAACATTTTTACAAAGCTGTTAAGGAGACGAGTGTTCCAATAAAATTTATTTTATAATTTTTCCCAGAAAATACCTGAAGACTTTCAGTATTTTTAAGTAAAACTAAAAAATAATGCGTTTTATGCGTAGAACGAATCTCTTGATAAAATCTTTGCTAAAACTAGAAAGACCTAAAATTTTAAAGAAACTTCAAGAACCTTCAGAGCGATACGGGTGGCGAATTTTCCAAATAATTTTTAATAAACTTATGCTCGCTGATCATTTTTTCAAGATAATCTCAATTACTTTCGCTAAAAACGAATTAAAATTATCTGGTTTTTGTGGCAAATTCGAAGCTGAAAATGGTTTTATAAATGCGATGAGTGAGGAGAATTTTGTAATTTTTTCCTGAATAGACCCCATGCTTGCCAGGAAGGAAGAAAAGCATCAGAAAATAATGGTTTTATTGCGCTTTTGATTAAAAACTTAAAATTTTGTAATCGGCTTTTGAGAAAACCTTAATGATTTTCGGGATAAATTATAATTTTTATACATGTTTAATTGTGAGGTGGTGTTTGTAGTTTGTGTAAATTTTAAATCTGATGATGGCGCTGTTGTCTCGCCGAAACGTAATGAAATAAACGATATTCAACATTTTTACTTCACACTTTGACTGAGTCCCAGGAAAGATAAGAATATAATATAATATTTAGATTAGAAAATAATTTATTAATATTAAGTACTTAAAAATTTACTTTTCAATTCCCGAACAACTCGGACTGTTTTCACGTTTACTATCATTATTGTCGAATTTGATCTGATTTTTTTAATCCGCAATGATTTACATCGCTATTAAAAGTGGTTGGGCGAGACAAATTTTGGTTCCTCCCCAGCTTCGCCCACCCCTAGCGCCGCCACTGCTTCTTGCACAAAAAACACATGTATTCGGTTCAAAAAACATTAAAACTTCTCTTAACTTCTTATTAAAGGTGCATTTATTCTCTGAATGTCAATGACTATCAGGGTGCCAACAACTGTACCCTTTACTCTATATCCAGGATTTCCGATTGAGGTCCACACTGTACGATAATTAGGAAATGTTTCCGGAAGCTGAATAGGTTGGGAGCAATTCGATCGCATTGATCCATAAAGCAAAGGCTCGCTGATTGAAAGTAATCAAATTTATGGACAAGTGTTTTCCGACGCCACTGTATAATTAACCGCAGCGTCGGAACAAGCGAAACATTCGGCGCTTCGCTTTGGCCTGCAGCTACAGCAACAGCAGTCAGCACACGACGTCTGTTCATTTCGTCTCCACGATTACTGTCGTCTTTACTCGAATCGTGCCGCCCTATATGGTTTGGCATGGATCGCGGCTGTATAAAATTACATCTCTTTTTCTCCGCTCCCTTCTAAAAATACCACAGCCTACGGTTATTTTGAGAGAATTGTATACAATTTTTCTTTTAATGAGATAGCCTTATTTACTTCGTTCCAATTCTACGATAAACTGAAAATAGGTCTTTGATTAATTTGGAACGTCAACAAATGCTTGGAAGTTCTAAATGTCGGTAGCCCATTTAATTGCTAATTGATCATGCGGGTAAACACAATGGCGTGATTCATAGATGCAATTGATTTGATTAACAACAATTGCGGTGAGGTGTCCAGGTAGCGTTCCAGAGCCTGGCACCATTGTAGTCCAGAGAGATCCCCAGATAAAGTTGAAGGATAAGCAAGCAAAGTACTTCTCTGGATGATTCACTAAGAGCTGAACGAAAGAGAGATACCCAGTGGAGGTGGCATATTTCTAAATGTTAGGGAAAACGAGTACCATTGCTGCAATTTTTAAATCCGGCGTCGCGACGAGCGTCGTGGTGGGGTCTGGCGGGGGACGTCGTTTCGTTCTGGTTTAGATCTGAAGTCCAGGTTGAACTCCTTTAGTCAGTGCTTTGGAGGCTACCAAGCAAACTTAAAGTTAGACGAACGACTCGACGACGCGCCGTGACGGGACGACGAAGTACATCGCGATACGCGAAGTGTGTGCTGTGTAGTGACGAAGTGTTGGGTGAATACACCCCTTAATACCTTGCAAGGAGTAAGTTCGAGTGGCTTTAGAGGTGTGTTAGTGAGCGTAAGTGCCCATCTAATGGACTTAGCTTAACAAATCTGGAACATTGAAGCTGGAAAACATTGTGCGTACGCACTGGTGCTCTTAGACCTAGATCCGCAGTTACGCTGTAACACACTCGTTGGAACGTCTCCGAATATTCTTCAACGGTTTCCTCCGGTTTCAGGCAGGGTTAATGTCAATGATATCTGGATAACAAAAAGAAGATAGCATGGGAGTGGCGGAGGATTTCGCTCCCAGCTTCACCCAGAAGCCGCAACTCAGGCAGGAAGATGACGGGAATAAACTCGTCTTTGAATGCCAGTTGCTTTCTGCCCCAAAACCCGAAATTCAATGGTTCCGAAGCGACACACTTCTGTCGGAAGACAGTCGAACCAATTTTAAAATACAATCCATAGGAACGAATAAATTTCTAGTAGTGCTAGAATTAGACGATGTTATCGAAACAGATGCAGGACTTTATAAAGTTAAAGCGAAAAACACCATGGGAGAAGTGGCTGCTTCCATCAATCTTAATTTCAGCCGTAAGTATTTCATTATTCTGCGCACACCTCATCGGATCAACTAAACCAGCGAGAAAATGCCCATACTAATTAACTTTTATTTTTAGCTATGGACGAGCCGAAAGAAAAGTAAGTTTCATTAAAAATCCCGTTAAAAAAGGTCCGACCGATGAAATGAACAGTCGACTTCGCTTCCTTCTAAAATAAAAATCTGAGAGGGCATAATTATATTTTAGACAAATTGATGGTCTTGCACCAACTTTCGCAAAGAAACCAGCTATTCGACAGGAGGAAGATGGTAAAAAACTACTTTTCGAATGTCGAATTCAAGCTGATCCCCGTCCAGTCGTCAATTGGTTCCATAATAACAACCCTGTCAAAGAATCTCCCCGTCATAAGGTACCAAACGAGACTATGAAAGTGCCAGCGATATTGTTTAGCAATTAACGCAATTCTGATAATTCCACTAGAAAATGAATTTGGCAGTGGATATAGTATCTAGTCATACTAACGTGTATCAAATGCGCCATATAGCGTTAAATAGTGAAAACGTTGAGCTGAGCTGATGGATAGGAATGACGATTAAAGATTAGACCCTTGAAATCCGATTAATTGCATTTACAAAATTCCTTTCAGTTGAGGATAGACAAAGATGGACACTCATACTTTGCAACCCTTGAAATAATAAATGTCACGGTTGAGGATGCTGGCAAATACAAGGTTACTGCAAAGAATGAATTGGGAGAAAGTAACGCGACGATTAGCCTCAACTTTGACAGTAAGTTTAAATGTAGTGTGTCTTCCTTGCTTTGCGTGTCCTAATGGCAGTCCAGAATATATTCTTTTCAACCCTAATGCCCATTTATTGCCAAGCGCGGAATAACCCGAGTAACTGGCAGAAGCTTTTAAGTGACGGCTTCTAACAGAGTTTCTGGGGTAGTGCTTCTGTGCTTTCTGGGGCATTTCTCGCCTCGAGGTCTATCAGTCCCAAACCGAGTCGAATATGAAACATTAAGCTTTGAAACTGGTCAAAAATGACATACTCTGTATCACCCTCAGCGATATACGAATATCAAAAAAACCCCTATTTATTCCAATCGCAATTGGCTCCAGCAGCTATGGACAAGTAAGTCAGCACTCGTGCACAGTACAATGGACTAACCGACGCTTAATCTCAGCTCAGCTTTTAATTTGCAGTTTTTTAACATTCCATTTCTAATCAATGTACATTAAAATTCCAATTCGTTTGTGTGAGTTCAAGCTTAGATTAGATAAAAACTGACTATGCAGTGCAATCCTAGGCCTTAGGAAGGCAGGAACGCGTCGTTCCCGCAATGACTGGACTGGATTGTTTTTCTGTTTCTAGGCCTAACTTGAGGTTCCGCTCGAACGGCTACCAACCACCCGCACCATCAACACTTGTACTGTTTAACATTGATAACTTTCAAAGGCCATGTTCTTGCAAAATGTGACACATGTATCAGAGTCGAATGACACCATATATTTATTTATTTATTTATTTATTTATCACTTTAACACAGTTAAGCCGTAATGATTAAAAGCTGAGCTTTTCCTTTCGGTAAGCATTGTAAGTTGCGCGAGTTGCTGGCTGTCCTATATAACGATAGCCGGTTTAGAAGAGTTTCTGCACTATAGGCGATGAAGCTCCGGTGCCTCAGCAGGAGGGCATCAAGCCAACCTTCACGGAGCGACCTGTTATCCGGCAGACAGACGACGGTGCTGCCATCATGTTCGAATGCCGGTGCGTCGGAGTCCCAAAGCCTGAAGTGCAATGGTACGTATAATGGTACCATCAAGCCACCATTGCGTGCTTACGACCATTGTGCAGGTACCATGGCAAAGAAGAAATTGGAGAAAATAGCCGGTATGCTATCACCATGGACTTGGACCAGAAACTTTACTATTTAGCCAGACTGGAAATTACCAGTGTTAGGAAGACTGACTCGGGCGAGTACCGCGCCGTTGCAAGGAATAGTTACGGTACAGCGGTGGCGACAATCAACCTCAATTTCGAGAGCAATGAGAAACCTAAGTAAGCTTGAGTGATTTCTTTCTCTCCCGATTCTCACGCTCATTTGCTCCTCTTTCGTAGAATTCCCGACGGTAAGGCGCCCCGCTTCCCTAAGAAACCGACAATTCGACAAGAGGGCGACGTTCTTATTATGGAGTGCCTTCTGGAGGCAAATCCAGACCCGGATATCACTTGGTTTCAAAGCGAAAAAAGCATTGCGGATAGTCCTCGTGTTCGCATGCTTAGGAAAACCACGACTAAAGACACATATCTTCTAACTTTAGAAATAGCGAATCCGACCCGCTTAGACGGCGGCAATTATCGATGTAACGCATTCAATCTATTCGGCGAATGCAACGCCAATATCGCGCTTAATTTCCAAGGTAGGCTGCATAGAAGCAGTCGCATCGTACCGTATCTGTACCCTATATGTTTGTGAAACGTCTCAATTCCGTTACTGATTGTATTTCCCATTTATGTTCCAGTGCCGTCAACACTTTGTCTTCGACCTGTGTAATGTCATTTTGCATGAGCATGGCCTTTTGACTTAAAGCCAGTCTCGAGCATAGTCATAACATGTTTTCGTGCGTGTTACAGGTGGAGACGATGCTGCGGGTTTTGCCCCCTCTTTCATCGAGAAACCCAAAATAATCCCCAATGAGAGCGGGACTCTCATCACTATGAAATGCAAATGCAAAGCAAAACCCAAGCCCGAGGTTACTTGGTTTCGTGGAACCACCGTCGTTAAGGAATCGTCTAAGACAACGATTCGAGTCGTAGACGTAGAAGAAGAGATATTCGAATTGATTCTAGAAATTAAGGTACCACTTCGCGCGCTTCTCGTCTAGTGCCATCCTCTCACCGACAACAATTTCTGTTCCAGGATCCTTCCGCTCCCGATGGTGGCACCTACAGATGCCACGTCAAAAACGAATTTGGCGAAAGTAATGCCAATTTAAATCTGAACATTGAAGCTGAGCCGGAGCCGGAAGGCGATGGCCCGACTTTTGTCGAAAAGCCCAGGATTACATCCCACCAGGGCGGCAAACTGGTTATCATGGAATGTAAGGTCCGATCAAACCCGAAACCCACCATTGTTTGGTATCGGGAAGGTAAACAGGTAACCGAATCGAGCAAAATTAAAATAAGCTTCGAAAAGGTGGAAGAAGATGTTTACTACATCAAACTGGAGCTAAATGATCCAGGATTGGAGGATTCAGGCTTATACAAATGCAACATTAAGAACACCTTAGGGGAGCTTAATGCTAATTTGACTCTGAATATTGAAATCATCCCAGTCATTAAGGAGAAACCAAAGGTCATTAAGATCATTAAAAAGAAAACTGTCATTGTGGAATGTAAAGTTCTCAGTAAATTCGCTCCTGACTGCACATGGTTTAAAGAGGAGAATGCCGTTAGGGAAGACTCTAGGCATCAAGTGCAAGTTGAGCAAGTCAAAGACGTACGTAGACAACTGGACCTGGAACACTCACATATACTATATACTGCTCATATCATTCCAGGGCGAATTCGCGGTCAAACTGGAAATATCAGACGTCCAGAAAGTAGACAAAGGTCTATACAAACTGGTAGCTAAAAACGAAAAGGGTGAAGCCACCTCACAAACTGTTGAGGTAACCGAATTGCCTCCTGACGAAAAACCAAAAGGAGAAAAGCCTAAGCTCACCAAGCTAACCAACATCGTAAGTCCTCGACTGCACCGTCCTCATACCCAATTAACACTGGTCCTTTCTAGACCCTAGAAGAAGGCAAGTCTGCCGACTTTATTTCTTCGTTGAAAGTCAGCGACAAGACAGTCACTATCATTTGGTACAAGGAAACTACTGTCATCCGCGAGTCGACCGACACGAAAATCACATTTGATGGCACGGTAACCCGCTTGAGCATCACCAAGTGTAAAACCACTCATTCTGGCACTTACAAAGTGGTTGCCAAAAATGAATTTGGAGAGGATGAAGCCACCGCTGTTTTAACCGTGAAAAAGAAGAAAGACGAAGACGAGGTAAGATATTTGTTCTCGTCTGAAATTTTCGTCTTAGTGGTGATCACATTATAAGATTTTTTTATCTGTATGTATTTTTTTCCATTTTTACACTTGACACACTTACACACAAGGAGGGTGAGACCAGTGAAGAAGAGGAAGAAATAAAAGTTCAGCCCAAAAAAGTTGAATCTGAACCAGAGGAAGAATCAGAGGTACACGCATATAAACGCACAGATTTTTGCTTTCAGTCATTTTCTTGGTTTTTGAATCGCAAAATACGGAAAATGCAAAAATAATCCAAACACTCCACATGGACACCAGGATCTTTATGTGTTTATTTTTTCATTCGACCGATTTAGATATATTACGGCTTTCCACCTATAAGCAGGCCTTCACATCTTGTAAATATTTCCACATTTTTTTAAAAACATTCAACCTTCGTACGTTTGAAATCCAATCTAACAATTACTCTGAACTTTAAACTTATTGAAACTTTTCTCTAATGGCAACAACTATAAATTCGCCGCTAATCTTCAGGGTGTTAACGGAAATAACTCGGACGTCATCGACGTTCATTCGCGCCTTTAAGAACGAATTATCATCTCAGGCAACCGAATTCTTTGCTTTCAATTTGAAGAGTGTTTTTCAGATATTTCTATCTCTTGCCTACTACTCTACTATTGCAACTCTAAGTCTCCTTTACACTAACATTATGCAACTTGTATTAACTGATTTCCAAAAACTAAAGATCGTTTCTTTTAGGAGGAGGAGGAGGAGGAAGCGGTTGTTGAAAAAAAAGTAGAAAAGAAAGAAGAGAAGAAAGTTGAAAAGAAGGAAGAGAAAAAAGTAGAAAAGAAGGAGGAAAAAAAGGTCGAGAAAAAAACAGAGGAAAAGAAGGTCGAGAAAAAGGCAGAGGAAAGGAAGGTAGAGAAAAAGGCGGAAGAAAGGAAAGAGGAAACCAAAGTGGTTCAGAAGGTAAATATCATTTGTCGCCCTAAATCACCAGACAATTTCCTTTATGTGTTTAATACCCTTCCCAATTTACTTCAGAAGGAGGAAGAAAAGAAAGTGAACGATATCGGCAAGAAGGAAGTAAAAAAAGTGGAGGTTAGTGGAAGTTTAGTGTGTTTTGTGTAATTGTCTAAGCCACGTCCTTTGTCTCATGTAGGAAACTAAGGCCGAAGAAAAGAAGGGACTAAGGCGCACTTCTGTGCAAAAGGTAAATAAATTGAAATATTTTTGGAACTTTATGGATTTCGAAATGACCCAGACAATAAACGTTTCGGAAATTTAATGTTTAACAACAGGTCGAACAAAAAAGCGAGTCTCGTAGAAGCTCAATAGTTCCGATGACAGAAGAAATTGTTAGGGATGGTGAGAAAAAATCTTCCAGCCGTAGATCGTCAACTGTTACGAGAGAGGAAGAAATTAAAAACGAATCGCAACGCACGTCTTTGACGGAAGACAAGAAAAAGAAGCTCACTTTAGGAACAAAGAAATTGGAATCCACTCCGGAGGCGGTAAGACATGTACTAACTTCAAAACAAAAATTCCAGAATTGCCGTAACTAAAGGGAATAAATATAATCGTTGACATTTTGTCCGAAATTTAATACAAAATTTGTAAAATGTGTCTATAATTAAAAATCAGTAATTAACTTATCTTGTCAAGTCTATTATGTTATATGTATTGTACATTGTTTGTTACTAATTTCAATGTAGAAAACACCAACCACACCCACAAATAACGTAGACGACACGTTCACAAAAAAGACCGAAACGGTAGCGAAAAAACCGACACCAGAAAAAGTTAAATCGCCACCACCTAAAGAACCGGAAAAGGTGAAATCTCCACCACCCAAAGCCGAATCGGCGGCGAAAGTTAAATCGCCACCACCAAGCGAACCAGCAAAACCGAGCGCCAAACCTTCTGAGCCACCTAAACCAGAAATCAAAGAACCAGTTGAGACACCTAAAACTAAACCTACACCCGAAAAGAAATCTGAACCACCGAAAATTGCTGAGCCGGTGCCCGATTTAAGCAAAACACGCGGTAGTCTCAAAAAGGTATACCTACCCTGAGTTCCTTCTATACATTCATAACAGATTTGTTTCTTTATTACTCTCTTCTGTGTGAACACTTGGTTTTATTTAGGACTGCACTTTAACAAGTTTTAAAAACACAATCATGATAAAAACTGAACGTTTTTAACACAATGTGATCTGTTCTACTGTGCTTGTGTTGCAACAACATGTTTCTGGATATTTTCTAAGACAATTTTTGTCCTGTTCTATGTCTTCGTTGGAATGTTCCCATGTGACTGTCAATGTTCGTGTCGTTGAAAATGTAGGCTGAGACCAAAACTGAGCCCGCGCCAAAGGTAAGATCATTTTTTTAAATATTTAGAATTAAATTTGATGGAAGGAATCGTTTTTTCGATGATAATAAATATCGTTGCTTGGTTATTATATAGACCGAGAAACCCAAACGAACAATTCCTCCCAAAGCCGAAATTCAAAAAGGTAGCTTCATGAACATTCAGTTAAAACCAGTAGAAAAAAAAGAAGCTAAGTCTGCAGAGCAAGCAAAATTAGATGTTGACTTGAAGGTAACGGAGAAACGGGACCATCTTGACATTGGTCTTCGCCCATCGTGTTCATCTTTCCACTCTTCGGACCTCCTCTCTCTTCTACTTGTCTAATTTTCTTTTCCGACTTTGTAAAATTCTTCTGCCACTGTATATAATGAAACTCTTTTGAGGTAAATTGATTTCATAGCCGTGGATTTCAGTAGGCACTTAAGTTAAGCTCAATGTCACTGGGCTAAAGAAATCAATTTATTATAGCCGTGCTCTATACTCTGATCAGCTCTTCCTTCAACCGCTGTGATAATTTTCCTGTGAATACATTCTATCTTGTAACTAACTATATTGATGTGTTTTCTCTTCTATCTAGTTATTGATTGACATTTTCTGGTTTTTCTCAAAATGTTTCATGTGACCCGGTTTTCCTGTACAACTTCTTGTTTTTTAATAGCAAGTAGAGACCAAAAAACTGGAAAAAACAACAGCTCAGAAGGGTAAAAAGAAAGATGCTTTCGATGCCAACGCTTGGGAGAATATTCCGGATTACGACAGGCCGGTGTTGGAAACATTCGAGCCTCATGATAAGGCTGAATATGCCGGACGGGATAAAACTAAGCTATCCAAGGTAATTTGAGACCGCTACAGCTTGGCAATGCTTCGCGTTATCTACGATAAAACACTTTCGACCCGCTTTCGCTTGCTTATTTTTTTCCAACTATTATATAAAGCGAAATTATTAGGAAAAGCCCCAATTGGTGGCTGAAGGCAAAGAAAAACCGGCCTTTGCCGCCGAGCAAAAAGCCATTCCGTCCGTGCCTCAAATTAAAACTCCCGAAGCGCCCAAAATTGAGGTTATTAAAGAAAGATCCCCCGAACCTAGAAAAGCTTCCTTAGAGCCAACTCCTGGCTCGGGAAGCAGACGCGGATCTCTGATACCTCCTGAGGCCGCAGCCAGACGCGCCAGTCTTATCATTTCTGATGAGGTAAGGTCGTTTGGTGGGTTTTCTTGTGAATTGCGAGTTTTAAATTTGTGTTACTTCAAATCTACGGGATGAAATTTGAAAATTTTCACAAAGTAATGCAGGTTTAAAATGAGATTTAACACCATAATCACGAAAATGAACTGTACAAACTAGTTAGTGATCCTGTCTATGAAGTGATGTAGAAGTGAATTTTGTCACATGCCTTAACTTTCAATGTCTTTAGGAACATAGGAAACTCAGGCCAGGCGAGGTGTTAGATGATAAAAAGGTAAAAGTCCAAAAAACCGTGATGTACGTTCTTCAGCCTGAAATTGCCGTCTAAATTTAACTTCTATAACTATATAAAAATGCTTGACTTGCTTTCAAGGTGTTGGACAATACAATCTATTGTAGGGAAGAACACCTTGGGATTTCATGTATACTCTACGATCCACTTATACTTTATATTAATTAATTCACCTCAAAGCGTTTATAAAGAGAAATTGTAATTTATTTGAAGAAATAAATAAAACCGTTATTTCAACTGGCGTGTGATAAACAACGGATAATTGAAAACGCACGGCTGTTTCTCGGAAAACATCTTGCCTATTTATCTGCATTGGTTACGGGAAAATCAATTTGCTTTAAATATATATTACTTCTCTTTGTAAAACTTTTTTCCGTATATGCACGAAAATTGCACGATGTGACATTACACTGTAGCACCAGCAAGCAGGCAGGCATCACAATATTGTAAAATGTTGCAGCGTAAAAGAGTATAACGCTCAATGTTATATTTTCTTTCCTGCTATTTATTTTCATTTCCTTTTATGTGTATGTCATTATGCCATTACTTATGATATATTTCCACAGGGAGGAAAATTACGTCCCGGGGAAGTCCTAGGTCCAAAGGTGAGGTTTGTGTTTAAAGACACAAAGCTGGCCTTTTGGTTTGGTATATGAATTTTCTATACCTAACATGTTTTGGTTGTAGTTTAATTGCTTATTTACATTACCTTAGTTTATCTTACTTTTTTTTCTTTAAAGCCGAAATCAAAACGTCCCGGGGAATTATCTGCTTCTGAAAGACAGGTTAGAGGGATAATATAAATGTAGATTGATTAGAAAAGTCAATAATATTTAAATGTCTGTGTCTAACGACTTTTTTAGATACGAAGAAGACCATAGTTTAGACGTTTCTGTCACAATTTATGTAACATTACATGTGGGATTTTCAAATGTAAATAATACAATGCTCCTTGTATATAGACTATATAATGGTATCTAATCTTTTATGTCATTAGACCCCTTTTTCCTTATTATGTTTTTCTTGTTTTAACTTCCCTTTTTATTTACTTGTTATAATAATCGAGACTTTCTACAACTACAGCAAAATCTGTTTTTTTCAAATTTATAGAACACAATTTGTTCATACTATTCACCTCATCCATCAGATAGTGAAAACTTCAGATTTTGTTGGGGTATTGACAGAAAACCTACTTCCAGTCTCGACAGTTTTCCTGTAGCTTCTAATCTTGGTTTTGGTTTTTGAGTTTTAGACGAAATAAATTTTGAATATTTTAGTGTCTAGACATACTCGCACCAATAACAATTTAATAATCTATCGATATACGCTCAATTTAACGCTTCACAATGCTGTATAGGCTTTTGTGCTTCAACGCTTTTGATGTATTATATGTATATTTATTTGTCATATAATATTTATTAAAAAAAAAACCGAGAATAAATATATATTTTTTCGTACTGCAAATTAATCAATGAAATATTAAATATTTTACTTTTATATGATGATGTATTTATAAAAAGATAATGATGAAGATATGGAAAATATTTCGTGAACTTGGCAAGTTAAGGCGGAACATTTACTTTTTAAATTGTCTTTGTTTTGTCAATTTTTAATTACCATCTAATTGTGTTGACCCACATTAGAAACAATAAAAATTTTTTTTTTTAAATTGTCATTGTGTATGTACTTATTCTCGGGTTAAAATCTGGTAACTAAACATATACTTTATGTGCAGTTTGAAATGTAACTGATCACAAATATTTTGAGCTGCGAAACATCAATATCATTTTGAGGAATTCTTTTAACACTTACTGCAAAGTTCCTACGCAAAATACTGAAAATCTCATACTGTGTTCTTTTCTGCTGCTTTTAAACCAGCTATAATGGAATCCCAAAATAAGCAACTATGTCTCATTCGCTAAAATCATACAGCAAAATAAATGACGATTTAACTTCCCGCTCTAAATGGACTTCGAAGCTCAAAATATTCTGTTCAACATTCAAGCGGTTTTTTTTTAATGAATTTTATTATATAGCGTCGACGTCCAAGTGCCGAAGTAAGAAGGCCAAGTTTGGCTGAACTTGAGGATATAATTAATAAACCGTCGACTCCCTTAAAACCGTCTGGACCAAAAGGTTCTCCTCCCAGCATTATCGATGTTCAAGAGAATTACTCTTCAGTTGAAGGTAAGACAATGAAATAGGCAATCGGTGTTGGAGTTCAAAACTAGTAGGTTAAAGAGTTTGCCAAAAAGGTTACTATCGAAGATGGCCGCATTCCAACTTGTATTATGATAAATGTTGAGTTAATTTGCCTTTTTCCTGGATTACTTCCAACATTTACATTTGCGATATTTTTGCAACTGTCCAGATTCAATTCAACTGAATGGATTTTAGCGAGCGTTTAGCAAATAATACAGGTTCTTTGTATGGATTCACAAAAATTTTCTATATAATGCTCATTAATTCCAGGAATGCTATTTTCATATTTCGAAGATAAGTTGAAAAATGTAGCTATCACGTGGGACTTGTGATGATCGTCTAAAATTCTATTTCTAGAATAATTTTCCGAAGCAGTTCCGGTAGATATTTGTTTGAACGATCACGATTTATTTACATTTGTTCTTAAAATTTTCAAATGAAAATATACGGGATTTTTCCAAAAATAGCCAGGTCTACATAAAAATAAACATAATCAGGCGCATAAATCTTTAAAATTATAAGACGCATAGAACTGTTTATATTTAATCATTGGCATCCAATCAAAATCAAACGAAAATAGGGGGTTTACCTGCAAGGCAATAATGCCTTGTTCGTTATATGAACTAAGTTCTTTGATATTATTTGATGGATTAACTACGTTAATCTTTTCCAGATCAAACCGCATATATCACCATCCAAGTGGAAGGTGATCCACCACCAAAATTCAAATTTTACAAGGTAATCCTTCTAGAGCTATTAAAGAGTATATTTTTGCTATCACACATCAATTGAATTTTCAGGGTGTGACTGAGATTATTGAAGGAGGTAGATTTAAATTTATCACTGATGGTGAGACGAATCTTATCACGCTGTGCATCAGGAAAGTAAAGCCTAATGATGAAGGGCAATATAAAGTGGTTGTATCTAACGTACATGGAGAAGATTCCGCAGAAATGATGCTTTATGTTGCTGGTTAGTTTGCAACTGATTCAATTATTTCATTCAATTATGCATGTTGCTTCCAGGCGCCGCTGGTGTTGATTTCCGTGCCATGTTGATGAAAAGGAAATATGCCAAGTGGGACAAAGATAAGGGTGACCCAGATTGGGGTGATTTGAAAGAAGTAGAAAAACCAATCCCAGCATTAAAAAAAGTTGAAAAGGTAAGATAATTAAAACGGATCTTAGGGGGTATTTTCAGCGAATCCAGACATCTAGGAGAGTCGCCTTAGAACCTGAAATAGAAAAAATCGGTAGTAAAGCTATTGAACTTACAGTATTATTTCTTGCAGTCAACTCGACTTAATAGATAATAAAGAGCAAATTGCGCTGACCCAGTCAAACAGACGCTAATAAATAACGTCTAAATTTAAACGGTTTAGTTTAAAAATACATTAATGAGTAACACACAATTATATAATGAGTTTTACATAACTGACAAGAAACATAAATTTTTCGGTGTATACGAGGAAACTTGTCTGGTAAATTTATGTCGGATTAAACCGGGCTATAAATACACCACACATTGTCTAATGAGATGCTAAAATTCCAAAGTAGTTAATCTTGTGTCGAATATAAAATTTGCTATTATTAGCTTGTGGGTGTGCCAGAAATCCATAAAATAATTGATCATTTATGAATTTATATCCCCACAATTACCTCAGACTTTTCTGGTGTCAAGGCTAAGTTACATATAAAAATTGTATTTGTCTTAAATATATATTGATCAATTTTTCTTCTGGTAGTATATTGCTCTTTCAAGAGCAAGGATACATATTTGAAAAAAGTTTAAACTGCTTTAAGTTAAAGGTAAGTAAGTAAGATTTTTTGATATTTTCGTAACTAAAAAAATTACGAAAACTCTGACGAGGACGGTGTTAAAAAAATATTTTAATTGTATGTGTTATTATACGGGGTGTCAATTTGAAAACTTCTTACCCTTAATATGTTTCTTGCAGTTGAAAATATGAAAAACCGGGAGACCCGTTAATTTCATTTGTAAGGGGACACTCTAAATTAATATTTTAGCCTCCTTTTTTCAACCCCCTAGGACGGGTAGATGCCACCCTTAGAACCTTAAATGGGAAGGGATGTCAAGTGGCACATCGTTTTAAAGGGCGTTCAATTCTCTTTTCTTCAGTTACTACTTTGTTGCTTTTTGTGCAGAGGATTCCGAATAATCGCGTTTTAAAGTTGTAGAAACAATTAAACTTGCGTGCATTCAGATATTGGTTTTCAAGTTAGTGTTTACACAAAAACAATTGTATTGTGTCTCCTTGTAATACAAATTATTATAACAGTAGGTTACCCTGTTAAAATAGTTGAATAACAGGAAGACAATCTAGTTTAAACGTTAATTTCTTCTTTTTGATTTTGATCTTATTTCTTATTTATTGATTATTTTACATCGACAAAAGTAACTTTTTATTTGCGGAACAGAAATTTTTACATTAAAACGTGTCATATACTTACGCACCATATTATTATTTGTTTCAAAATCTTGACCGGTTTGCTCTAAACAATAATAGAGTCTGTTTCCAAACTCCTACCTAATTTTTCGGAACATTTTACCGGGTATTCTGCTGCAATCCGCCTTTTAAGATCATCAATATCAGCAGGTTGTGTTTTATCAATAATGGACTTATTATTACTACTTATGCCCCCAAAGAAAGAAGTCTAAGGGTGTTCAATCTTGGAGGCAATCTTCTGGCAATCGATCTATCCGGGGATATCTTATCAATGTTAAGGGGGATTCGAAAATATACTTTATTATTTTTTACAGGAAAATAGACAACATTTTCAACAACGTATAAGATAGTGCGTAAGTAGACCCCATGGGTTTCATTGTAGAAGTTTCTCTTCGTAATTTTTTTTTCCTCAAAGTAAAATAATCAATAAATCCGAAATAAATTATTTAAACTAGATTTTCTTCCCGTTATTCAACGATTTAAATGGTGTAACCTACTCTTCTAATTATTTATACTATAAGGAGACCCAATGACATAATTTTTGTTTAAACACTAATCTGAAAAGCAAAATCTCAAGGCAGGCAAGTTTAATTGTTTCTGTAACTTTGAAACGCGATTATTCGAAAACCTGTGAACAAAAAGCAACAAAGTAGTAACTAATGTAAAGAGAATTGAACGCCCTTTCAAACCATATGCTACTTGACCCCGTTTTCCAATTAAGATTCTAAGGGTGACATCTACCCGTCCTAGGGGGTTGAAACAAGGAGGCTAAAAATATTAATTTAATGTGTCGCCCTTTCAAATAAAATTGACGGGTCTTTCCGGTTTTTCATATCTTAAACTGCAAGAAAGATATTAAGGGTGGAAAGTTTTCAGACTGACACCCAGTATAATCGAACTAGGTATTAATAAAGAAATATTAGATTGTTTCAAAAATTTTAACTGCTATTATTGGATTATCCCACTAATTAATATTAATGTTTCCTTGCAGTGCAAAATAAAAACTAGGCGCTTTTCTTTTGCTGGGCTTTCGTTTGAGTGGCCATTGCTGAGGAAACCAGAGGTTGTTAATTTTCTTTTCAAGCATGGTAATGCACCAATATGCACCTTCAACGAACAACTATTATATTATGACAATTTTATACAAAATAAAAATCAATTTTTACAAAACCAGACACGCTTTAGAGGTGTACAAACTTTTTCAGCAGTTACCGTTGAAAAGTTGATTTTTATAGTCAAACCTCTTTAATCAAAGCCGAGTCTCGACATAAACTTAATTTCAGCATCTTGAAAATTCAAGTTTTGAGCCTGGAAATATAGACCCACGTATTCCATGTAAACCTACGCAAAATTCCGATGAATGTTTCACATAACTCAAATAGAAAATTGAGTTTATTGTCATAATATTTGGCGAATTTGTCACGAAGTAATTAGCAACTTGTGAAACCCGCACCTAGAATAGTAACTAAAATGTTGGCAAAACAAGCTGTAGTGACACTTGCCAGATTTAAAAATGTATTTTATGTGTAATTTGGCAAACTGAACGCAACAATTCGGATATGATTTAACAGCGAACAATTCGGTCATGAATGAAAATAAAAATTATGTAAATATCGCAAATCGCTTTTCCAAAAAAATGGAGAAATTCCGGAGATTGAAAGCTTCCTAAACAACTAAACTCAAATTAAAAATTTTCATTTCTATTAGGTGTTCAGTTGTGCAGTGTTCAATTAAAATTTACACCAACTGACCAACTAGCAAATTAATTTAAAAATGGTTTTATGAGACATTCGATGGAAACTTTGGGATTTTGAAGAAAAAAATTACTACTTTAGTTATTTTTTGGAAAGAGTTTTATGCAATTTGTTTGAATAACTTCAACTTTGACATGAACTTGATCGCGCTTTCAATATTCTCCGAATGAAACAAAGTGTTCTCGCAATTTTCAAAATTCGAAATTGAGATGCTGAAGCATTGGATCCCAGGAAGGTAACTGAGAATAAACTAGAGCGCTTTCCAACCTGCAATTTACTAATCCATGCCCTCCATAGCAAATGCAGTGAATTTAATAATGGGACTAACTATTCCTGATATGTCCATAAAAGGCACCAGGTAAACTTTCACAATAAAACACCAAAGGCTATATTAGATCCTACGCGTAGTTGCTAGCTAAAATCTGAGTTGCAGTTTTCTTTCTAGAATCCTCTATCTGCCAGAAGGCCCTCGTTAGCAGAACTAATACCTGATTGGCCGATTTTGCACCATTTCGAAAGAAGAGAGGTTTGGGATTGGCAGATCTCGGCATATGTTATCAATGTTTGTTGTGCACGACAGCATGACAAAGCGAAATCCCTTTCCACTTCTTCCATTTCTAACATCTCCGGCAAACTAATTTTCCAAAAATCGTTGTTGTATCTGCATTATGGTGAAACACGAAGATTCACCTTGTACATATAAAATATTTTTTTGTACATATATTTATTTTTAGGAGTTTTTTTTCAGCCAATTTTTGAGCCGGCAGAATTTTAATGGAGATCGATAATATTTTTGTGAATGTTATTTATTCGATTTTTTTTTGGTACCTCTTTCACTATCTTAATTTTGCTTTATTATTCTAGAAATCCGAATCCTTTTTGAAACCACTCGTCGACCAATATGCAAAGGAAGGCAAAGATAAGAAAGCCGTTTTCGAGGCTGGATTTTCTAAACCAAACTGTAAACCCAAATGGCTCTTCCGAAAGGACGTGAGTGCTTTTCACTTGGAGCTCACAGCAACTCAATAGTAATCGATAAACACTTGCAGGAACTTTTCCAAGGAGCCAAATACCAATTCAAAAATGAGAATGATTTGTATCAGCTCATTATCACAAACCCTAAAGTGGAAGATTCTGGCAAATATACAATTGAAATAGGAGGCGTGCATTGTACAGCTTTTCTCAATGTCGAAGAGCCAGATCCATCATATACTTTCACTAAAGCTCTGAAAAAGAAGTACGACGGCTATACGCAGCATGAAGTTGAACTTTCCTGCACGGTGAGCAACAGCTTAGCCATCGTTGGCTGGTATAAAGGAGCGAAGAAGTTAGAAGACGGAGATAAATATCAAATTTCCAAGGACCTCAGTGGCGTCTGCCGCCTTACTATCAAGAACGCTACTTTCGATGATGCTGACGAATATTCTTGCAAACTTGAGAAGCAAACCGAGAAAACTGTAACCAAAGTAAACATCGTTGATTACCCTTACAAATTCGTCAAGGTACTCAAGCATCAACAGCATGTTGAAAAGGAGAACATCACCTTCCTCTGTGAATTGAACGACGCTGGTGGAGACGTGAAGTGGTTCAAAGGAGATCAAGAAATCACTCCAGATAAAAGACTGGTTGTTAGTAAAGACGGCAGGAAACGAAAGCTGGTAATTAAGGACGCCAAAGTTACTGACGCTGGGATGTATTCCTGTGTCAGCAACGCCGATAAAACCGAAGCAGAATTAGTCGTCAACTATCTCAATCGCTTCAACAAGAAACTGAAGGACACCAATGCCGTTGAACGCGAAAGGCTTGTTCTGGACATCGAGCTTCAAGATCAAACAGCGCCTGCTGAATGGTTCTTCAATGGCGAACCCATCGTACCTTCAGACAGAATCGAAATTAAGAACCTGGGAGGCGGAAAGCATCAGTTGATCTTTAACAAACTCGATTTAGCTGATTCCGGTGAAATCAAAGTCAAATCTGGACAGTTGGAATCTTCGATGAACCTTGCAGTCAACAAAGGTGAAAGTATACCAAAGATCGATTTCCCATCTACATACGAAGCACCTATTAGCAAGCCCATTCTTATGGAAGTTCCATATAAAAGTGAGTATGATTTATTTTCAGGACGCAACATTAAAATTCAGCAATTGCTTTAAAAAATACAAAACACTTTGTCATTGCTTAGTTCTTTGTAGCACTTTCTCAATCGTACCACTTTCTGGATAAATCCACCTCTTTCTTACGACTAAAATATTATCCATTTCTGCAGTTGAAGGAACTAGACAATCCCAACTAGAAGCCAAGCTTATCAAAGACGGCAAAGTACTGCCACTTAAAGATGTGGATGTCATAATAGCAGATGAAAAAGTTACTTTCAAGATCAAAAAGCCCAGCAGAGACCAATCTGGTCCCTATCAAATCAAACTATCCAATGCCCAGGGTGAAGATGTAAAAGATGTGAAGATAATTATGCAAGACGTGCCCGCGCCACCTCAAGACGTCGATGTTAAAGAGGTCTTCCAGACCAACTGCAAAGTGGCGTGGAAGACACCGGCTGATGATGGAGGATCGCCGATTCTGCATTATGTCGTTGAAAGGCAAGATTTGAGTTTGAAAGGTATGTGGTGTCTGGTTGCGCTTGATGGGGGGATTGAGGGCTGATTTATTGTAGCTGGATGGGACAATGTGGGCGAAGTCAAGCCCGGACAAACCTCTTTCAAGGTTGAAGGTTTGGTCCCGAAAAAGCAATACAAATTCCGTATTAGAGCTGTAAATAAACTAGGGTCAAGTGAACCTGCTCTGTTCGCTAAACCTGTCCTTGCTAAAGACCCTTGGGGTAAGAGTCGACTGTTTATTTCCTCCCTGCCATATCGCAATTTCTTTGGCAATGGGTAGATTTGTTCTGATGTCTCACTTACCCATTGCCTAAATAAGAAAATACAAAATTATTGTATTATTTCCACTTGCAGATGAACCTAGCAAACCAAACAACGTGGAAGTCGTCGATTGGGACAAAGACCACGCCGATCTCAAATGGCTTCCTCCAGATAACGACGGTGGTGCTCCCATCACGGGATACATTGTTGAAGTCAAAGACAAATTTGGAAAAGAATGGACTACCGGAATTGAAGTCCCCGGCGAGCAGCTCTCTGCAACTGTGCCGGGATTAAAAGAAAACAGCCAGTACGAATTCAGAGTTAGAGCAGTTAACAAAGCTGGACCTGGCGAACCAAGTGACACAACTAAACCTATCATCGCCAAATGCCGATTTGTGAAGCCTTTTATCATCGGAGACGACCTGAAGAGCATAATAATCAAAAAAGGACAAATCGTCAAGTACGACATCAAGTTCGGGGGAGAGCCTGAACCAACCGTTCAATGGTTCCTAGACCAAAAGGAAATAAAACCAGACATCGAAGAACGCATAACCATCGATTCATACGAGAAAAATACTATCATCACTGTAAGACGCGCAGCCCGAGCTGACAGCGGCAAATATCGACTAGTACTTACTAACAGTTCTGGAACGTGTGAAGGAATAGCAGAAGTCATAGTTCTGGATAAACCAACACCACCAAAAGGTCCGTTAGAACCAGAAGAAATTCGTGCTGATCACGTCACAGTGAAATGGCAACGACCAGAAGATATGGGTGGTACCGAACTGACTGGATATGTTCTTGAAAAAATGGATATGGATACAGGCCGATGGGTATCTGCTGGCGAGGTTGGCCCCGGAGACAACAAGTTCACGTTCAAAGGACTTACACCCAAAAAGAAATACAAATTTAGAGTGAGGGCCAAGAACAAGGAAGGAGAATCAGAACCTTTGGAAACTTCGGACTTCATCCTGGCTAAAAATCCATATGATGAACCTGGAGCGCCCGGAAAACCAGATATTATTGATTACGATAATAAGAGTGCTACTTTGAGATGGCCCAAACCCGAAAATGATGGTGGAAGACCGATTTCTCATTACACCATCGAAATGAAAGACAAATTTTCCCCGGACTGGAAGGAGGTTGCAACAACATCTGACAGCAATCCAGAAGGAAAAGTGGAGAATTTAAAAGAAAATCAGGTTTATCAGTTTAGAGTGCGGGCACACAACAAAGCTGGGCCTAGTGTTCCTTCTGAACCTACAGATAATCACCTCTGCAAGCACAAAAACTGTAAGATTTATTTGTTTGATTTAACCAAAATTAATTCCCTTTTGAAGTTAGGATTTTTACTAATTGGATTTAATAATCACTGTTTATTGCTGAATAAATTTGGTATATATATCTTTTTCATGATTGGTTTTCAATTTTGTGTGCATAAGACTTTTTACCTTTCTTTTCACAGGGTTTTTTACTTTACATATTTCATATTTTACATATTTTTTGGAATTGTGACGTTTCCATTATATATACCTTACAGATATGTGTATGAGGGCTCAATAAGTAGTTCAATCCTCCATTAGAGCTTTTTCTTAAACACATTTGTAATTTACAGTGAAACCACGTATCGACCGGGAAACCTTCAAATCAATCACCATTAAAGCTGGACGCACTCACAAATGGGCCGTCGACTTCATGGGCGAACCTCCACCGGAGGTGAAGTGGGTTTGGAGGGATAACATTCCACTTACTAACTCCGAAAGAATTAAAATCGAAAACGCCGAGTACCACACTGACTTTACTTTGCTTAATGCCGTCCGAAAAGACACTGGAAAATATACGCTGATCATCGAAAACGTAAACGGCAAAGACCAGGAAACTGTAGAGCTCACAGTTCTAAGTAAACCAGGATCTCCTCAAGGACCTCTCGTTGTTAGCGATGTCACTGCTGAAAAAGCTAAAGTTAGCTGGAAAAAACCTGAAGATGACGGTGGCAGTCCTATTAAAGAATACGAAATTGAAAAAATGGATATGGCTACTGGAAAATGGGTCCGTTGTGGCCGTGTTCCAGGAGACAAACTTTCGCCCGATGGTAAAGGCGAGTTCGAAGTCACTGGACTTAATCCAGGTTCAGAATATAAATTCAGAGTAACAGCGGTTAATAATGAGGGCGACTCTGATCCTTTAGTCGCTGATAGACCTACATTAGCCAAAAATCCATTCGGTAAGTTTAGGAGAGGAGAACAGAAATGCATCTGGAATCAAGTGTGCACTATAATCAATCATACACAATATCCAATTGTTCCATTAAAACTTTTTGAATTAAAATTTTCTCATAGTGTGACTCTTCTTATGACTGAAATACTTATCGACACGACATCACAACTATAATAAACAAGTTCGCAATAGTGAAACACTCTGTATACACCCAGTATTATGCTTGATTCTATTGCAAGATCTTCCGAAGTCGCTCATTTTCCTGTCATACTTTTGCGTTCTAACATTTGGGCCGAATTCTAGACGAGCCTGGAAAACCAGGAGTGCCAGAAATCGTTGATTACGACAACAAAGGAGTTGACCTGAAATGGACGGCCCCTGAAAACGACGGTGGCTCACCGATTGAGAAATATATCATCGAAAAGAAGGATAAATACAAGCCAGACTGGGAGAAGGCAATTGAAGTACCAGGAGATCAATTGCAGGCCCGCGTTGAAGACCTCAAAGAACGCGGTGAATATCAGTTCCGTGTGAAAGCGGTCAACAAAGCAGGCCCCGGTCAGCCTTCTGATGCATCTCAAATGCAAATAATCAAACACCGATCACGTAAGTCATGTTTCTGCACCATAAACACTCGCGAATCCAATGATTCCTTGCAGTCAAACCCAGAATTGACCGAACCAACCTTAAGCCGATAATCGTTCGTGCTGGAAAGCCCATCAAGTACGACGTTGATGTCAGGGGTGAACCTCCACCAACAATCACTTGGTTCCATATTGATACTGAAGTCAAATCAGAAGGCAACATTGAGATAATCAATGTTGACTACAATACGAAACTGAACATCACCAACTCCGTGCGCAAGAATACTGGAGTTTACAGAATCAAAGCTGTAAACGAGCATGGACAAGATGAGGCAGAAGTGGAAGTTACCGTTCTCTGTAAGTACTTTACTAGGCTTCTTTGAGATTAACTTCTAACATTTTTCAATAGCATCGCCGGGAAAACCAAAGGGCCCTCTGAAAGTATCCGATGTTACAAAGAGCGGATGCAAACTGAAATGGGACAAGCCTGAAGACGATGGTGGCAAACCAGTCACTGGTTACGTAGTTGAAAAACTCGATAAAGCTACCGGCAGGTGGGTTCCAGTTGGACGCACTGGTCCCAATGACACAGAGATGGATGTAAAAGGCCTTACTGAAGGACACGAATACGATTTCCGAGTAAAGGCCGTGAACGACGAAGGTGAATCAGAACCACTGGAAACTGATGGATCGATTATTGCCAAGAACCCCTACGATATTCCTGGAAAGCCTGGCACTCCGGAAATAGTAGACTGGGACGCTGATCGAGTTGATCTCAAATGGACTGCCCCTAAGAGTTCAGGTGGTGCGCCTATCACAGGATATGTCATTGAAAAGAAGGAGAAATTCTCTACGTCTTGGGATGAAATTCTCAGCACTGATGTAAGTAACACCCAACTAAACTCTTCGATATCATAAAACACTCGAACACACTTTCAGTCTCCGACCTGTGAAGCCAGAGTGCCTGGACTTAAAGAAGGCAATACGTATCAGTTCCGCGTAAGAGCTGTAAATAAAGCTGGACCTGGCGAGCCTTCTGATGCCACTGGCCAACATGTGTCCAAAGCCAGACATAGTAAGTTTATTCAATTTTATGTGCTGCAAGTTACAACAAATTCTAACTGCAACTTTTGGTTAAAATACGTTGCATTTTCAGAGCGTCCACTGATCAACAGAGAGAAGCTTCACACTGTAAAAGTACGTGCAGGCCAACTGGTGAAGTTCGATGTGGATGTCCAAGGAGAACCTCCACCGATCTGTACATGGAGCTTCGCGCATAAACCTCTGGAAAACGGACCGAAAACGAAAATTGAAAATGAAGACTACAACACCAAACTTACACTGTCGGACACATCCCGAAAAGATACCGGCACATATACACTTCGAGCTGAAAATGACTCCGGCTTTGATGAAGCTCCAGTTGAAGTCATTGTTCTGGACAAACCCGGAAAACCGGAAGGACCACTTGAAGTGAGTGATGTACATAAAGAAGGATGCAAACTCAAATGGGACAAACCTAAAGACGACGGAGGCCTTCCAATAACAGGATACGTTGTGGAGAAACAAGATACACAAACCGGCAAATGGGTGCCCGCAGGATTTGTTGATCCTGACAAAACAGATCATGAAATAACTGGTCTTGAACCAAATAAAAAGTATAACTTCAGAGTAAAGGCCGTAAATGAAGAGGGCGAATCAGAACCTTTAGAAACTGACACAGCCACTCTTGCTAAAAACCCATATGATATATCTGCACCACCCGGTTTGCCTGAAATCGTGGATTGGGATGAACACTCAGTTAAATTGAAATGGGACAAACCCGTACGAGATGGTGGTGCGCCTATCACCGGATATATCATTGAAGCTATGGATAAATTTACTGGTCAGTTTGCCAAAGTCGCCGAAGTAGGCCCTCAGTGCCAAGGAACCGTAGGCAAGCTTGAAGAAGGAAATCAATACAAATTCCGCGTCAGAGCCATCAATAAGGCCGGCCAATCAGAACCTTCTGAACAGACCAACTGGCATACAGCCAAAGCCCGATTCTGTAAGTTTTAACAAACTAAAAAAAATTATAATCATTCATTCGTGTTGTTAAATTTTAGTGAAACCACTGATTGATCGCACCAACCTCAAGCCGCTGTCGGTGAAAGCAGGCCTTTCCATTAGTTTGGACATTAACATTCAAGGCGAACCTCCACCGACTGTCACATGGCTTTATGAAGGCAAAGAGATTTCATCCACTGATGAGCTGAAAATTGACAACATTGATTACAACACCAAGTTCTTCATCCTGCGCTCTAAGAGAACGCAATCTGGCAAATACACCATCATTGCCAAAAACGAAGTTGGAACAGACGAAGCGGAAATTGAAATTTCCGTTCTTGGCAAACCAGGATCGCCAAAGGGACCTCTAGACGTGTCTGATGTAACTAAACATGGTTGCAAACTAAAATGGAAGAAACCGGAAGACGATGGTGGCAGCCCGATTGACCATTACGAAATTGAGAAACTTGATCCTCTAACTGGTCAATGGATTCCGTGTGGTAGAAGCACGGAACCGGAAGCCAATATTACTGGCTTACAAGAAGGAAAACCGTACAAATTCAGAGTCAAGGCCGTGAACAAGGAGGGAGAATCCGAACCATTGGAGACTGAAAAATCCATCATTGCCAAAAATCCATTCGGTAAGTTTGTAGCTACCGTTATAACAGAAAAAATCAAGTTTAATCATTATGTCCAGATGAACCCACAAAACCTGGACGCCCAGATCTCAAAAACTGGGACAAAGACTTCGTTGAACTGGCATGGAAAGCCCCAGTCAGCGACGGAGGAGCTCCAATCCAGAAATATATTATCCAAATGCACGACAAAGCTGGACGTGGTTGGGTTGATGCCGCCACAGTACCTGGAGATAAAACTGCAGGTCGTGTTGAGACAGTTGAAGAAGGCCACGAGTACGAATTCAGAATAGTAGCTGTCAACAAGGCAGGACCTAGTGAACCTAGCGATCCATCCAAACCCGTTATTGCCAAACCCCGATTCTGTAAGGCCATTGATAACGTCCAATAATCATAAAAATTGCAACTTTGTTCTCTATTTCAGTGGCACCGAAAATTGATCGCAAGAATCTCACCAAACAATCACTTCGTCCTGGACAGCTTCTTCGGCTAGAAGCTGATGTGAAAGGTGAACCTCCACCGACCATTACGTGGACCCTCAAGGAGCAGAACCTCCGAAACACCGATAGGCTCAAAATCGATAACGAAGATTACCACACCAGCTTTGTGCTTCAAAAAGTACAACGCAGCGATACTGGCGTTTACGTAGTTACAGCTAGAAACGACTCAGGAGTAGATACTGTTGAAGTTGAAATTTCAGTAGTAACTAAGCCCGGCAAACCTAAAGGACCCCTCAAAGTATCAGACGTCTCAGCAGAAGGATGCAAACTTAAGTGGGAGGCCCCAGAAGACGATGGTGGCGAACCAGTTACTGGATATGTGGTTGAACGAATGGACGTTGAGACTGGAAGATGGGTACCTGTTACTACTACAAAAACACCTGAAGCTGATGTAACAGGACTGAATGAAGGCAAAGACTATCAATTCAGAGTCAAAGCTGTTAATGCTGAAGGCGAATCTGAGCCATTGGTTACAGATGAACCAACAACTGCCAAAAATCCCTATACTGAACCAGACTCACCCGGAAAACCCGAGCTTAAGGACTGGACGAAAGATCATGCTGACCTCAAATGGGCGCCACCAAAGAATGATGGCGGCGCACCTGTTGAGAAGTACATTATAGAGAAGAAAGACCCCATTACTGGAAAATGGCATAAGGCAGTCGAAGTACCTGGAAATAAAACGGAAGCTAGAGTTCCAGAATTGCAAGAAGGTCAAAAGTATTCCTTCCGCGTCAAGGCTGTTAATAAGGGCGGAGAAAGTAAGCCATCACCACCATCTGACACGATCACCGCGAAAGACAGATTTGTGCCACCTAAGATCGACCGCACTTCACTTAAAGACCTCACTGTGAAGGCTGGACAGCACATTCGTCTCGATGTGAAAATATCTGGTGAACCTCCACCGACAAAGACGTGGTTCTTAAACAAAGCCCGCATCGAGAATCGGGATGATATTAACGTTGATCTGGAGGATTATAGAACCAAACTTGTAATTCCTGTAGCTAAGAGAGAACATACTGGCACGCTGGTGATCAAAGCTGAAAACAGCTCTGGAAGAGATGAAGCCAGCATTGAAATTAAGGTGCTAGATAAACCAGGAAAACCAGAAGGACCTTTGAGAATTAGTGATGTTCATAAAGAAGGTTGTGCCCTAAAATGGAATCCACCACTAGACGACGGCGGCGTTCCATTAGATTACTATCAAGTGGAGAAACTGGACACTGCCACTGGCCGTTGGGTACCAGCAGGCCGTTCCAAAGAACCAAAAATTGAGCTGAATAACCTAGAACCTGGTCAGGAATATAAATTCAGGGTTTCAGCCGTGAATGCCGAAGGCGAATCAGAACCTCTAGAGGCAGAACAAACTATTGTTGCCAAGAATCCGTTCGATGAACCAGGAGCACCCGGAACTCCCGAGGTAGTAGACTGGGACAAGGACCATGTGGATCTGAGATGGACTCCACCAACCAAGGATGGTGGATCTCCAATCACTGGATACATAATAGAAAAAAGGGAGAAGGGCTCACCCAAGTGGACTAAAGCCGGTGAGACCGGACCGTTTGAAACCAAGGGAACAGCCGATAACCTGGATGAAGGTGTTGAATATGAATTTAGAGTTAGAGCTGTTAATGCAGCTGGACCCGGAGAACCAAGTCAAGCTTCTAAATCAGTTATTACCAAACCACGCAAATGTAAGTAAGATGAAAATATTAAAAGCAGCATTATCATAATTAAATTTCAGTGGCACCTAAGATCGATCGCCGCAACCTACACAATATCACCGTTAAAGAAGGCGAACCGATTTACATCGATGTTAAAGTAAGTGGTGAACCGGCTCCCGAAGTCACATGGTATCAGGATGGTCGTACTATTACTGACGGCACCCATAAACGTGTCGACAATGTGCCATACAACTCCAAATTCTTCAACGATAGACCCGAACGAAAGGATACTGGAGTATATAAAATTGTCGCCGTTAACAAATATGGACAGGACCAAGCGGAAATAGACATAACAGTAGTTTGTAAGTGAACCATCAACGATCATGAATGCAACCAGTATTTACGTGATTTGCTTTACAGCCAAACCCGGACAACCTGAAGGACCTCTAGAAGTGTCTGATATTCACAAGGATGGATGCACACTTAAATGGAAGAGACCCAAAGATGATGGTGGAGAACCAATTGAGAACTACGTGGTTGAAAAGTTGGACCCTGAAACAGGAATCTGGTTGCCAGTTGGTAAAACGACTGGAGCTGTTCCTGAAATGCAAGTTGACGGACTTATTCCTGGACACGACTACAAATTCAGAGTAAAAGCTGTGAATAAAGAGGGCGAATCGGAACCTCTAGAAACATTTGGAACCATCACAGCCAAAGACCCTTACAGTACGTGTTATGCTAATTGATTAAGACACTTTAGGCAGGTTTCATTCATTTGCAGCTACTGCCGCCAAGCCAGGTACGCCAGAACCAGAAGACTGGTCGGCTAACCACGTCGACCTCAAATGGACTGAACCCGTCTCTGATGGAGGAGCTCCCATTACCGGGTACATAATTGAAATGAAGGACAAATACAGTCCACTTTGGGAAAAGGCTGTTGAAACCACCAGCCCTACTCCAAAGGCTACCGTAACCGGTTTAATCGAAGGCAATGAGTATCAATTCAGAGTTATTGCCCTCAATGCTGCAGGACCCAGCCAAGCTTCTGATGCTAGCAAAATTTTCACTGCCAAGCCTAGATATTGTAAGCTACTCTTTTCTGTAAAGTAGAAACCGCTAATCGTTCCTCTTATTTCAGTGGCGCCTAAAATCGACAGGCGTTACCTGCACGATGTTACAATTTCTGCAGGATCACCTCTTAAATTCGAAGCAAATATTATCGGTGAACCTCCACCGAGTGTGGAGTGGCGCTTCAGTGGCATCACGTTGAAGAATGACAAACGTACCACCATTGATAATCCAGACTATAGCACCAAAATTGCTATTCGTCCGGTTGGTCGCGATGATACCGGCCAATACACAGTTACAGCCAGTAACAGTTCTGGCAAAGACATTCATACTATCAACGTTACTGTTACTGACAAGCCCACTCCTCCTCAAGGACCCCTTCAAGTATCAGACGTCAACAAGAACGGCTGTAAATTGAAATGGAAACGCCCGAAAGACGATGGCGGCACTCCAATTGAGTACTATCAAGTTGATAAGATGGATCCAGAAACTGGATGCTGGGTACCTTGCGGAAGAGCCAACGAGCCAAGTAAGTATATGTTTTGCGTAATTAAACATCTAATTCCTCATCAAAAAATATATTGTTTAACTGATGCAGGTAGTAAATTAAATCAATGCTTGCTTTTCAGACTTTGAAGTTACCGGTCTAACACCAAACCACGAATATAAATTCAGAGTAGCTGCCGTAAACGCTGAAGGTGAATCGAAACCTTTAGAAGCAGAAGAAACAATAATTGCAAAGAATCCATTTGATGAACCCGGAGCACCTGGACATCTCAAGGCGACTGATTGGGATAAGGATCATGTCGATCTCGAATGGACCCCACCAAAAGACGACGGAGGCTCTCCAGTCACTGGATACATTATTGAAAAGAAGGACAAATTTGGGGATTGGGAGAAGGCTCTCGAAGTACCATCTGATAAACTTAAAGCCACTGTCCCAGACCTGATTGAAGGTCAACCTTATCAATTCCGGGTTCGTGCAGTGAATGCTGCTGGACCTGGTGAACCAAGCAATGAAACTCCAACCATAATTGCCAAACCCCGCAACTTAGCACCAAAGATTGATAGAACTAATCTTATTGAAATTAAAATCCGTGCAGGACAAGCCTTTGGCTACGATGTTAAAGTATCCGGTGAGCCGATGCCTACTACCAAATGGTTGCAAAAGGGCAAGGAAATCAAATCTGGACCCAATTGCAAAGTGCAACATGGCGATTACAACACTAAGATAAATGTGAAAAATGCGACAAGAGCAGATTCCGGTACTTACACCGTTACAGCTGAAAACGCGAACGGCAAAGATATCGCTGAAGTAGAGGTAATTGTGCTAGACGTACCCAGTCCACCTGGTGGTCCACTTAAGGTGTCCGATGTCCATGCGAACGGATGCAAACTCAACTGGAGACCACCATCAGATGACGGTGGCCAGCCTGTTGAGAGTTATTTAGTAGAAAAAATGGACGAAGCAAGCGGACGATGGGTTCCAGTTGGTGAAACTGAGGGGCCCCAAACATCCATCACCGTTGACGGTTTAACTCCCGGACACAAATATAAATTTAGAGTTCGAGCTCAGAATCGTCAAGGCAAATCCGAACCTCTCACTACTGCTCAGGCAATCGAAGCCAAAAATCCCTTCGACGAACCAGGCAAAACTAGTGCGCCGGAAATCGTGGATTATGACAGCGATTTCGTTGAACTTAAGTGGGACAGGCCAGAGAGCGATGGAGGCTCACCAATCACAGGATACGTCATTGAAAAACGCGACAAATTCAATCCCAACTGGGAAAAATGTGCTGAAGTTGAGGGTGATGTTACGAGAGGAAAAGTTAACGACCTTATTGAAGGTACTCCTTATGAGTTCAGAATCCGAGCCATCAACAAGGCTGGACCTGGAGAAGCGAGTGATGCATCCAAAATTCATGTTGCCAGACCCAAAAATCGTAAGTTGATTTCTCATCATCACTTTCTTTCACCACATCAATCGTTTAAAGTAAAGAATCAATTAAAACATTATATATACATTATTACACATTAAATACTATATCTTCATATGTCTTTTCCAGTCGCTCCCAAGATCGACCGAAACTCATTTTACGACCTTAAAGTCAAAGTTGGCCAATCGATTGAGTTCAACGTTCCAGTTATCGGTGAACCGCCACCAAGCAAAGAATGGAAGCACAAAGAAAACGTGCTGTTTAATACTGACCGCGTCAAGATTACTAACGAAGACTACAGAACTCAAATAAAAATCACTGACGCCCAGAGAGCTGACAGCGGTCCATATACTTTAACCATCAAAAATTCCAATGGTAGAGACACTGAGACCGTAAAAGTAACTGTTCTGGATGTACCAACTCCACCGGAAGGACCTCTTAGTGCTGACAACGTTACTAAGAACTCTCTGAATCTTCACTGGCGGCCACCAAAAGACGACGGCGGATCAGAAATATCCCATTATCAAGTGGAGAAACTTGACACAGAAAACATGAGATGGGTACCAGTCGGAGACTCAGTTGGAACATCCATGCGCGTTCCCAATTTAACTGAAGGCCATGACTATCAGTTCCGGGTTCGGGCAGTGAACAAACAAGGAGAATCCGCCCCCTTAACTACTACTGAAAGCATCACAGCGAAAGATCCATTCACTAAGCCAGATAGGCCTGGTGCTCCTAAACCAACCGATTGGGATAAAGATCATGTGGATCTTGAATGGACTCCACCAAGAAAGGACGGAGGAGCTCCAATCACTGAGTATATCATTGAAAAGAGGCCAAAACATGGGTAAGTTGCAAACGATTTAATACATACTTGCTTGTACACATAAAAGTACCTGAAAACTTGACCTGAAATTTAATCTTTAACTTTTTTTGCTTTTAGAACTTGGGAAGAAGCTGCTAGAGTTCCTGGAAATGCAACCAAAGGAACTGTACCAAATCTGACTGAAGGCGAAGAATATGAGTTTAGAATCATTGCCGTGAACAAAGGAGGACATAGCGAGCCCAGTGAGGCATCTATTCCTGTTATTGCTAAGCCACGATTCCTGGCTCCGTCTTTCAACAAGAGCTTGCTTGAAGACATTACTGTCAAGGTTGGTCAACGATTTGGATGGACAATTCCCATCGAAGCAGCACCTAAACCAACTGCTAAATGGAGCGTTAATGGAAAAGATATTTCCGTTGATGATAGAGTAGACTTTGCCGTATTTAACAACAAATTATCATTTGATGTCACATCAGCGTTGCGCACTGATACCGGCAGATACACTTTAACTCTCAGCAATGAAGTTGGTAGTTTTACAGCATCCGCGCAAGTTACTGTATTGGACAGACCAAGTCCACCACAACCACCACTAGATGTTGGTAGTGTGACGAAAGAAAGTGCTAGAATTTCGTGGAAGCCACCACTTGATAATGGTGGTTCTCCAATATTGCATTACATTGTTGAAAAAATGGATGTGTCTCGTGGAACATGGTCAGACGCTGGTATGGCCACAATTACATCTCATGACATTACCCGACTTATCCATAAGAAGGAATACTTCTTCCGCGTCAAAGCAGTTAATGCTGTAGGCGAGTCTGAACCTCTGGAAACACCCAGAAGTATCATAGCCAAAAACGAATTTGGTAAATTCACCTAACGAGTTTATCAAATGTGTGGTTCAATTCCAAATTTGTTATAGATGAACCTACTGCTCCTGGTAAACCAGCCGTTACGGACTGGGATAAAGACCATGTGGATCTGGAATGGACCCCACCAAAAAGCGATGGAGGTTCTCCTATTACTGGCTACATTGTGCAAAAGAAAGAAAAGGGCAGTCCCTACTGGACAAATGCTGTCCACGTTCCAGCTAAAAGCAACACCTGTACTGTGCCAGACCTAACCGAGGGTCAAGATTACGAATTTAGAGTAATCGCCACAAACACCGCTGGACAAAGTGAACCATCGGAACCCTCAGATGTTGTCACTGCCAAGGCCAGATTCTGTGAGCATTAACTAATATTCCGAAATTCCCAGCTAATTTATTTCTTTTAGTGGCTCCTAAAATCAAGACGCCACTTAATGACATTCGTATCAAAGCTGGACTTATCTTGCACATTGACATCGACTTTATTGGTGAACCTTGTCCTGAAGCTACCTGGACCGTAGGAAGCAAACCATTAACCGCTGATGACCGCACAACGGTCACATCAATAGGGTATCATACAGTAATTCACACTGTGAATGCTAAACGATCAAACAGTGGATTGTATCATCTTTTAATTAAAAACAACTCTGGCATTGATGAAGGTTCATTCCAAGTCACCGTTCTTGGTAAATTGGCAAAGTCCCCGTCGATTCGAGCTAAAATTTATCAACATTTTGGTTTCAGATCGCCCTGGACCTCCAGAAGGTCCTCTTGAATACGAGGAAGTGACCGCCCAAAGCGTAACACTTTCGTGGAAACCACCTAAAGATAATGGTGGCAGTGAAATCACGTAAGGTCAACAAATATGTTCGTAAGGGATCGTTAAAATAAATTTCCGTTTTCCAGTGGCTTCGTTATTGAGAAGCGCGACTTAACACACGGAGGTGGTTGGGTACCTGCCGTCAATTACGTAAATCCCAAATACAACCACGCGGTTGTACCAAGATTAATTGAAGGCACCAAATACGAATTCAGAGTCTTCGCTGAAAACTTACAAGGCCGTTCCGATCCGCTTGATACTGAAAAACCAGTTGTTGCTAAAAATCAATATGGTATGAAACAACTGCCCGGTATTCCGTATACCTTAGCAACTATTTGGCCGAAAAGAGGCCACTAAATGTATTTTCTTATTCTCTTTTATAATACCGTCATCATACAATTTCAGATGTTCCCGGAAAGCCTGGAAAGCCCGAGCTTGTGGACAGCGATAAAGATCACATTAAAATTAAATGGTCAGCTCCAATTAGTAATGGTGGATCTCCTATTGTTGGGTATGACATTGAACGTCGTGACCGAGCAACTGGTAGATGGGTGAAATTGAACAAAGAACCCGTCAGAGGCCAAGACTATTATGACGATAGAGTGCAAGAAGGACATCAATATGAATATAGAGTTTCAGCTGTTAATGCAGCTGGTAATGGAAAACCTAGTGACACATCCAACGTATTCATTGCTAAACCAATGAAAGGTAGTGTACTAACTTAGAGGTAAGAAAATTAGAAGCAAATTGAATGTGTATTACTTACAGAAAAACCGAAATTATGGCTGGATGGAATCATTGGAAGGAAAATCAAGGTACGGGCAGGAGAGCCCATTAACATCGATATTCCCCTGACTGGGGCTCCAGCCCCTAAAGTGGACTGGATAAAGAACAAACTTCCAATACCAGAAAGTAGCAGATTATACGTAAGTTGCCATAAACGTAAACAAAAGCAGCAATGACAAAAACCACTTAATTTCAGACTGAAACCAATAGCGAACACACACGACTACGAGTTGAGACCTCCAACAGAGCTGATGCAGGAACTTATACAGTTAGAGCCAAAAATGAATATGGCGCAGATGAAGCTGACATCGAAGTCATTGTCGTTGATAAACCCGGAATTCCAAAGGGCCCGCTTCAATACACTTCTACCACACAAGATTCCATATCACTCTCATGGAACCCACCAACTGATGATGGCGGTGGTGATATTACTGGATATATCGTGGAAATTTCCGAATTTGGCACCGATCTATGGAGACCATGTCCCGGGTTCTGCCCTAGACCATCTTTCACAGCGCGCGGACTTACTGAAGGCAAGAAATACGTTTTCAGGGTTCGTGCAGAGAACATCTATGGAGTGTCTGAGCCTCTTGAGGGCAAACCAGTTGTTGCCAAGAGTCCATTTGACCCTCCAGGCGCTCCTAGTCAACCAGAAATCACCGGATACACACCAAGTTCATGTTCTCTTAAATGGAATCCACCTGCGTCTACAGGTGGCAAGCCAATTAGTGGATATATTGTCGAAAAACGTGAACGTGGAGGCGACTGGGTGAAAGTGAACAACTACCCGACGCCAAATACTCAATATACTGTTCAAGACTTACGCGAGGGTAACAAATATGAGTTCCGCGTAACTGCTGTTAATGAAGCCGGTCCAGGCGAACCCAGCAGACCTACAGAGCCAATTATTGCTCAACATCAAAGATTCACTCCCTCGGCACCAGAGCCTCCAAAGGCGGATCGCATCACAAAGGATAGTGTTACACTTTCATGGAGACCACCTAAAAGTGACGGAGGATCGAAACTTCGTGGCTATATTCTACAAAAACGTCCTAAAGGTTCAGATGACTGGACCGATGTTAACTCAGTTCCAGTTAATGACACCGTTTACACTGTTCCTCACCTCAAAGAAGGCGAAGAGTATCAATTCAGAGTTATAGCGGTCAATGACGTTGGAAATTCCGAACCAAGTAGACCTAGCAATCCAATTCTAATCGAAGAACAGCCTAACAAACCATGCATGGATTTGGGAGGAGTACGTGACATAACCGTTCGTGCTGGAGAAGACTTTAGCATCCACGTTCCATACATTGGTTTCCCAAAACCAACCGCTTCTTGGTTTGCCAATGATAAAATATTGGATGAATCCGACAGTCGCGTCTTTCCACAGCTTGCTGACGACTATGCAAGCATTATAGTGAAGAACTCCAAAAGATCTGACACAGGGCAGTATCGCTTGCAGCTGAAGAACCCATCTGGTTTCGATACCGCCACGATTAATGTTAGGGTTCTTGATAGACCTGGCAAACCCGAAAACCTGAGAGCAGATGAATTTGCTGGGGATGCGCTTACGCTCTACTGGCAGCCACCCAAAGATAATGGTGGAGCTGACATTACAAATTACATTATTGAGAAGAAAGAGGCCAAATCATCAACTTGGACCAAAGTCAGCAGTTATGTCACTGTTCCATTTGTCAGAATCCGTAATCTAACACTTGGTAAAGAATACGACTTTAGGGTAATTGCCGAAAACATCTACGGGCAATCAGAGCCTGCTGTTACATCTGAACCTATTCGCGCCAGGCATCCATTTGATCCTCCAGGAGCTCCAGGAACTCCACGAGGAATTGATAGTAGTGAAGACTCTATTACTATTCAATGGACTAAACCTCGTCATGACGGCGGATCCCCGATTACCGGATATGTTGTTGAGAAACGACTTATTACTGAAGATAAATGGACCAAAGCCTCTCATGCTTTGATTCCTGATCTCAACCTTAAAGCTATCAACCTGATCGAAAATCACGAATATGAATTTAGAGTGGCTGCTGTGAATGCTGCAGGTCAAGGACCTTGGAGCTCAGCCTCAGATGCGCTTTGCGCCCGAGCTGCCCCATCAGCACCCAAGATCACGTCAGATTTAAGTATTCGCGATATCGTTGTTATCGCAGGTGAAGAGTTAAGAATTACTGTTCCCTACGTAGCTACACCGAAGCCTAAAGCTGCATGGACAATTAATGGAGATGAAGTTAGTGGAGACGATAGGATTAAGCTTGAAACCACCGATATAGCGTCAATATTCTACAATAAATCAGCGAAACGTTCAGACACTGGAAGCTACACTATCAAACTTACCAATTCGATGGGATCCGACTCTGCATCTTGTAGAGTACTCGTGGTCGACAGACCTCAGCCTCCGCAAGGTCCTCTCGATGTGTCTGATGTTACCCCAGACAACTGCTCTCTGGCATGGAGGCCTCCGTTAGATGACGGTGGCTCGCCTATAACAAATTACATTGTTGAGAAATTGGATCAAAATGGTATCTGGGTGAAAGTGAGCAGTTTCGTGCGTAGCACACATTACGACGTGATGAGTCTCGAACCAAATAAGAAATATAGCTTCAGAATCAGAGCAGAAAATCAATATGGAATTAGTGAACCTCTGGAAACTAGCGAACCAGTAATAGCTAAATATCCATTTACCATCCCAGAACCACCAAGTCCACCACGCGTCATTGATTGGGATAGTAACACTATCAACCTGGCATGGGACCGTCCGACTCATGACGGAGGTTCTCGCATTCAAGGCTACAAGCTCGAGTACAGAGATGTGCGCGATACCCACTGGATGAGTGCTAGCGACTATCTAATAAAAGATACCCATTTCGATCTTTATAACATGGTTACCGGTCAAGAATACGAATTCAGAGTAAGAGCCAAGAACGCCGCTGGATTCAGCAAACCTTCAGCATCATCATCCCGCTTTAAACTTAAGGGTAAATTCAATGTTCCCTCTGCGCCACGTGAACCTAAAGTGGTTAACGTTGGCAAAGGCTACGTGGATCTTACTTGGGAACCACCAACTTCAGATGGTGGATCGAAAATCACCGGCTATCTTATTGAAAAGAGAGAAATTGGCAGTCCGTTATGGACGAAATGCAATGACTACAATGTCAGCGATACTAACTTTACGGTTCTCAACTTACAAGACAGATCCGAATATGAATTTAGAATATCTGCAATTAATGCTGCCGGAAAGAGTGAACCAAGCAGCTGCACAGCACCAGTAAAAGTTTGCGAAGTTCTGGGAGGCGAAAAGCCGGACTGGCTGAGAAGATTACAGAACAGCTCAGCTCCACTTGGAAAATCTATCAGTTTGGAATGCGAAGCTACAGGTAAACCAGAACCTACATTCCGCTGGTTGAGGAATGGACGTGAAATTCAAGGTGGTGGCCGATTCAGGCTGGAATCTAAAGGTGGTACTGCTTGGCTGCACATCAATGATCTTCTGGATGTTGATGATGGAGACTATACTTGTGAAGCCAGCAATTCACTTGGAGCAGTTACTACAACCGCACGTCTTAAAATTGGAAGTAAGTAATTCGATTGGGAATTTTAGTGTCTATACCATTCCATATAATCTTGAGGGAAAGTTTAGTCTTAGACACAAAGACCCTTTTCATACGGTTTCTCAAAAATTGGGGATAAGGTACTTTTTATAGCAGCGTAATCGCTTGAAGACCTATTTGTGCCTAAATCTAAATATCCAGGAACCAAAGCGCGTTTACTTAATTTTTAATGTTGACAAAGACAAAAAAACACTTAATTTTTAATTCATCAATTGTGTGTAATGTGGTCGTTCGACTCATGAGAAAATAACCATGATTTAATTAAAATTCTAACAAACCCATTGCAAGAATCAATGTTAAAATTCCACAAGGCCGAATTTGCATATTTACCGTAAACGAGTTATTAATGTTTTCCTAATTATGTGGAGCTAATGCAGTTGAAATGCTGCAAACGTATAATACGGTTTTAGTAGAGTAATAATCGTCTAAAATGGCAAATTTTTATTGCAGATCCTCCAAGGATTGAAAGACTCCCCGGCGATCTGTACTTGGCCGAAGGTGATAATACTAAGATCAAAATCTACTATTCCGGAGACCAACCTCTTGATGTTACTCTTACCAAAGATGGACAGAAGGTCGATGACGAATCGCATATTAGATTCACCATATTTGATGATTACATTATAATATTCATAAAAGACATCAAGAAAAGCGATGCTGGAAGCTACAATCTTACCGTAAAGAACGACAGTGGAAGTGCTTCAGGCAGCTTCCCAGTCTACATTACCGGATTGCCCGGACCACCAAATGGCCCCTTGGAAACTACAGATATTACCAAACATACATGTACATTAAGCTGGAAACCTCCTAGTTACGACGGAGGTCTTCGTGTAACTCACTATGTAGTTGAAAGAAAAGACATCAGCGGAACTCACTGGATAACCGTATCCAGCTCCTGTAGGGACACTACCTTTACTGTCCAAGGACTTACAGAAGGACAGGAATATCTGTTCAGAGTAATGGCTGTAAATGACAACGGAATGGGACCGCCATTAGACGGAGTGAACCCAGTAAGGGCCAAGGCTCCATTTGATCCTCCATCACCACCTGGAATTCCAGTTGTTACTCAAGTTGGAGGTGACTTTGTCAATCTCGAATGGACCAAGCCAGAAAACGACGGTGGTGCACGCGTACAGGGATACTGGATAGATAAACGCGAAGTTGGTCAATTAGCTTGGCAACGAGTCAATGTAGCCATTTGTTTACCAACACAAATCAACATTTCAAACCTAATCGAAGGACGCCAGTACGAATTTAGGGTTTTCGCTCAGAACATTGCAGGCCTATCAGAACCCTCATCGGCCTCCACATCTGTTACCATAAAAGACCCTCTCGCGCCAACACCTCCAGAAATTGTCAAGCCGCTTAAGAACGCGCAAAGCATTCAAAATCATAATGCCAAATTCGAATGCACTATTACGGGAGTACCAACTCCCAACATCACATGGTACAAAGGGGCGAGAGAAATTACAAATGGATCCAGATATCACATTTACAGTGAGGGAGATGTTCACCATCTCGTTATCCATGATGTATTTGGTGAAGATGCCGATGAATATGTTTGCAGAGCATCCAACAAAGCCGGTGTGAAATCAACGCGAGCGGAATTATTAATAATGAGTAAGTGTTACATATTTTTTCACATTCTTGAACATACAATTTTGAACTTCTATACTCAGCTCCAACTGATCTGTTGAGTATTCTACTCATGCCACCTCATATCCCAAAGTCTCCAAATTTTATCAAATACTTTTTTTGCTTTCAGCTGCACCAAAATTGAACATTCCACCACGATTCCGTGATAGCGCGTACTTTGACAAGGGTGAAAATGTTATTATCAAAATTCCGTTCACCGGTTTCCCCAAGCCAAAGATCACATGGGTAAGGGAAGGTGAAGTAATTGAATCTGGTGGTCACTACCACGTTGAAGTAAAGGACAGACATGCAATTCTCACTATACGAGACGCGAGCAAATTGGACAGTGGACCATACAGAATAACAGCTGAAAATGAACTTGGTCAAGACACTGCTATCATAAAGATCCAAATTGCCGATCGCCCAGATCCTCCACGATTCCCAGTTGTGGATAACATTGGTACCGACTCATTGGCTTTGTCATGGAAAGCACCAGTTTGGGACGGTGGTAGCAACATAACTAACTACATGGTGGAGAGGAGAGAGCATCCTCTATCCACCTGGATAAGAGTAGGAAACACCCGCCTTACCACAATGGCGGTAAGTGGTTTAACACCCGGACACCAATACGAGTTCAGAATCTATGCCGAGAATATTTACGGCAGATCTGATCCATCCGAAGTTAGTACTCTAATTACCATGAAAGATACTACTAAAAAGAAGGTTGAAAAGAAGAAGTACGAAGTGGATGAAACCGGAAAGAAAATCCGTGAATCTCACAAAGAGCCAATTAAGGACTATGATAGCTATGTGTTCGATATCTACTCCAAGTTTGTGCCACAGCCTGTAGAAATCAAGACCCGAAGCGTATATGATGACTACGATATCCTAGAAGAAATCGGTACGGGAGCCTTCGGAGTCGTTCACCGATGCCGCGAAAGAAAAACTGGAAATATATTCGCTGCGAAATTCATCCCAGTATCTCATGCAATGGAAAAGGAACTTATCCGCAAAGAAATTGATATAATGAATCAGTTGCATCATCCTAAACTGATCAATCTCCATGACGCTTTTGAAGACGATGACGAAATGGTGCTCATCTACGAATTCCTATCTGGTGGCGAACTATTCGAACGTATCACTGCTGAAGGATACAGCATGTCTGAAGCCGAAGTAATCAACTACATGAGGCAAATTTGTGAAGGAATCAAGCACATGCATGAAAAGAACATCATCCATCTTGATATTAAACCCGAGAATATTATGTGCCAGACTAGAAAGGGCACCAACATCAAACTCATTGACTTTGGTTTGGCAACTAAATTGGACCCCAATGAAGTTGTAAAGATTTCAACTGGTACGGCAGAGTTTGCTGCGCCAGAAATTGTCGAACGCGAACCCGTAGGATTCTATACGGACATGTGGGCAGTTGGTGTATTGGCCTACGTACTGCTCAGTGGATTATCACCATTCGCTGGAGAAAATGATATTGAAACATTGAAGAACGTTAAGGCCTGTGATTGGGACTTTGACGAAGAAGCCTTCACGAATGTGTCTGAAGAAGGGAAGGACTTCATCCGACGACTATTGCTCAAGAACAAAGAGTAAGTGGTTTATTTTGAAAAATAAATTTTCTAATGACTGTCATTATTGTCTCTAGAAAGCGTCTAACTGCACAAGAGTGCCTACTGCATGCCTGGTTATCTGGAGACCATAGCGACCGAAACAAGACCATCGACCAATCCAGATACTTAAGTCTGCGCGATAGAATTCGCGCTAAATATGACGCCTGGGACTCATTTGCCCTTCCAATTGGTCGCTTATCAGAGTATTCCTCCTTGCGCAAATTGCTCATTGACAAATACAAAATTCACGACGCCTACTTCGGTATGTCTTCAACGTAGTAGTTTTCATAAAATATTTAATCAACAACTTTCTAATAGATCGTAGACAAGCTGCTCCAAGATTCGTCATCAAACCGCAAAGCGCATTCTGTTACGAAGGACAGAGCGTTAAATTCTACTGCAGAGTTATTGGTGTTGCTACTCCAACAGTCAGTTGGTATCACAATAACGTTGAGCTACGACAGAGCGTTAAATTCATGAAGAGATATTCAGGTGATGACTATTACTTCGTCATCAATAGAGCCCGACTGCAAGATCGCGGTGAATACATAATTAGAGCAGAGAATCATTATGGATCCAGGGAAGAAGTTGTCTTCCTCAATGTACAACGTAAGTGAATGGCATGAAACAAATAAACCATCAAGGTATTCACTTTAAAACTATATTCCAGCTTTGCCGACGGTAGTCCCAGAATACAAACCGGAAACGGCACAAGTCAGACGACGTGAACCTTTGCCATACACATTCTGGCAAGAAGAACAAGAATGCGCTCCCAGCTTTACTTTCCTGCTCAGACCTCGAGTCATGCAGGAAAGAGACACTTGCAAGCTGTTGTGTTGTCTTAGTGGAAAGCCATTCCCCACAGTCAAGTGGTACAAGGACAAGCGAGAACTTAGCAAATATGAATATTCTATGTCGCACTCTGATGGAGTTATCACTATGGAAATCCAGGGCTGCAGGCCATCTGACTCTGGAAAATATACTTGCATCGCCACAAACAAGCATGGTCAAGATGAAACTTCCTGCGTAGTTATTGTTGAAGGACAGACAAGCACTGAGGAACAAACCAAAATCGCTGAAAGAATATTATATTCCGGTGATAGGAAATATATAGAAAATCCGATAAAACCAGCGCCGATTCCAGTTACTATTAAGAAGCAAGTAACGCAACCTAATCCGATTCAACCACGATCCGCAAATGCAAGCACGAACAGCCTTGCCCACTCTTCATCTACACTGAGTGTGGGAGATGGAGATAAAAGATCGCCAAGGAAATATGGAAGACTCGACTCAACAGGAAGCCCCAACCGATCCAGAAGTGCTACCAAGGAACTTGCTCGTAAGTCGCAGAATGTTATCCGTTGAAAATGGCGTGTTGCTTAATTATGAAATATTTCCAGTTCCCCCCGATTCCACAATGGGCCCTCCAGAATTCTCGAAGGGACTAAAAGATATGACAATAAATGACGGTGACAGTCTAACTCTCACAGCTCACGTACAAGGAGACCCTGAACCCCAAGTAGTTTGGACCAAAGACGGTAAACCTTTAACATCTTCAGAAGTTATTGATCTCAAATACAAAAATGGAATTGCCAAGCTGCATATAAACGAAGTATACCCAGAAGATGAAGGATCATATGTCTGCAAGGCCACAAACTCGATGGGAACAGCTGAAACCACTTGCAAGCTTAGTATTAAAAGTAAGTACAAAGCAGGATATTTGGACAAAGGGTTGATATACTTGAAAAAAAATCGATGATGTTCTATGTATATGTTGCAAATGTTTTTCAGTTTTGGCCAACCAAACAAATGGTAAGAAAAAAACTGAAGACAAACCACCGACGATAGTAAGCCATTTGGAGTCTGCATTTGTGAAAGATGCAGAGCCAGTCACAATTTCTTGCCGCATAATCGGAGCTGACAAATTTGATGTAATTTGGTTACACAACAACAAAGAAATTAAGCCAAGCAAAGACTTCCAATATGTAAACGAGGCTAATATTTACAAACTGATCATTGCCGAGATCTATCCCGAAGACTCAGGAGTATACACCTGTGAAGCATTCAACGACGCTGGAGAAAGTTTCAGCAGTTGCACATTAAATGTCGTTGTTCCCGGCGACCAGCCAAAGAGTCCAGTGTTCAAAACATTCCCGATTTCCGCCACGGTATCAGAAAACGAAGTAGCCACATTCGTTGCTGAGACCGAAGACGAACCCTTACAAATTAGTTGGCTGAAGGACGGCAAACAAATAAAAGAAAGTAGTGCCAAATTCAAATTTACTGCAGACGGAAAACGATACACTTTACAAATTGTTTCATGCGACTCGAATGACATCGGCCAATACCAAGCAAAAGCTATTGGCAAGAAAGGAGAAACCTTTGCGGCATTCTCCCTCAACGTTGTTCCACCTGGTCAGCTCTGAGCGCTGACTACCTAATTTAACGCTAGCAAATTAACGAACGACTCGCTCCATTACTTATTAATATTATTTATGGGAATAAATAATATTTATTTGTAAAAATTTTGTATTAACAGGTGCCCAGCAAAAAGCAGTGTGTGCTGGATCAATTTTTGTTACATCCTTAGCATCCTCAAAACTTACCATCAATTCGTAAGGACGTTACAAAAATGATTTAACGCAATTTTTTTTTGTTAACTCGAGCCCTAAACGCATATTTCGTCCGAACAAGGAGCAAAATAATCGACATAATTTTTTTTGTTTAAAATGGATGAGAAGAGATTATTTATTTCAGTGTGAAAGTGCTTGCGCCATCTTTTCATTAAGCCATCATTGTTCAGTATTTAAGTTTCATACAATAAAATGCATTATTGCTTATGCAAAGCCATACCAAAAATTGTATCATACTATGTAAAGAATAAATCTATCATTTTTAATTCCAATTAGTTTTATTTATTGACTTTCCCTATATCCACTTAAAACAATTAAGAGCATTACAGTGGAAACTCAAGGTTTGCCCTGATACGATCATCATTCCTCATTAACTTAAACGACGGATTCACACTTCCGGATCACAGTAATTACTGAACTTAAAGCTTATTGTAAATAATGCTGATGGATAAGCAAGTATTCTCGATGTCGCATTAAAGCTCATTAGTGCGTTATGCAGAAAACAAATTAACTGCTTGAGGACCTGAACAAACTCGGTTAAACTTAAAGCTTAAAGTTTTTAGAGCCTTTAATTCACCATTCAAAACGTATTATGTTCAAAATTTGCCTTGTTAAAGAAATCCAGAAGCATCTAGTGAAACGCATTTTTATCCACTGGTTTATACAGTACCTAGTAGTAAAATGAGCTTCTTAGACCACACCGCTCGCTAACCAGGAACCAAAAAAAAAACAACAATGGTATAAAGGAGATGTTGGTATTAATGAAAACCACAACTTGTATTTGAATAAAATCAATTAGCTTTATTAATTTAAAATAGCAATAATCTGCCCACAGGCATATATAAAATCCATTCAAGGTGAATCAATCATTTCCATACAATGCTTCATTCTTTGTTTCATTAAAATTTCAGTCAGAATTTGCATTACAAATCTAAAACAACTTTTAAATGTTAACTATCAATAATAATAACATTATAATGATATGTCTTAACGACTAAAATATTCTCAAATCAGTCCATTCGCTTAACATTTTAACATATAAAACTTATTAACAGGTATTCAAAATCACGTGGTTGTGACCTAAGCTGAAGTACCAGCAAAGAATCCTCTCGAACTAGCTGGTTTTATGGTATTCGCCTCTAAACCACCAAATCTAGTCTGGATCTGTCTGTCATTGGTTTGATCAGAAGATTGTGTCTGTCCAGCCACTCCAGTACGTCGGTGATTTTCAATGTGATCAGAATTAATCAACCAAAATGGTCTGTTTTCTCTTGGCCATTGATTCAACCTGCTCACAAGAACAGCATCACCTCTGGCATCAACGGGAATTTTCTGATCACTGGAATCTGGATCACCTAGACGGTTTACAACAGTCGCTTGATTACTCATATCTGGTGCATCTTGAGCTGCAAATCGACTCGCTAATTCTGGATAACCTTTGGCACTTGTTCCCGCATAGGTTGGACGTTGTGCCATAGATAATGCGACGAAAGACAACAAAAAGAGAAAATATTTCTGAAAATAACAACAATCTAATTATCTATAATAATGCTTATTCTATTAAGTCCATAAAATAAACACGCAGAAACGAGAAATACATTAACCAAAAAAAGACACGTGTTTTGATAAAATAACAACTAACACGTTTAATCAACTGAAAGCTTAAACAACATCCAACAATCTGGAAAAATTGGAAATTGGCAACTTGCACTTAAAGATTGTTACAGCAACAAATGTGAAATTAATACATCAGAGTATGATAATGTAATTGAAATAAAACAGTGCTAAAGAAAATGTGGCCATATAGATCTGGAAATTTTACACTCCAATTGCAAATAATTGCATTTCGGTACTAAATAGGGAATTTTGTAATATGTTTACAAAACTTTTTTCTTCAATTTTATGTAGGTACTCCGCTCGCGCTTGAGAAGCGCCGAAATTCATTCCTTCAAGCTTCAAGCAACAGCAACCGCTGTTATGCCCAAAAAACTAATAATGTTTGCTCGTTAGCTGCGTGAGTTTTATTTGAAGCCCCTCAAAAGCATAGTTAGCTCTTTTAGAAAAATATAATTTAAATCTCACGGTCCACTAAAAAATGCATTCCATTTAAATATTTCACCCTGTATTATGGCAAGCTTGTAAACACTCATTGTTTAGAATCTTTGAACTCAATAATAAATACCCGCAGCATGTGATAAACTTATTGAACTTTAAGGCAAATTGTTATGTATATCATGTGCTGAGTTTATGTGTGAATTAAATAAAAGGGCCACATATACTTTAGCATCTGTGGCTTTTCAATAAATAATTAATAATATTTTTTTATAAATCTCAGGCGATATGGAAAGGCATTTAAAAATCATTAAATTTTAAAATTAAATCGAAATTATTGATTCTAAATTTCAAGAGACTGAACAAAGTTGAAGGCAAATTTACATGCTGAAATTAAAAGTAATGCACTTACTTACCATCTTTAATGAATCAACCCAAACCGATTACTGCAACCACTTGAACAACAATGCACTTTAGCAAGCAATCAACTGAAGTCTACCGCTCCTGACCGTGTCTTCAATCGGAATGATGTAAATTTTAAATAAGTAGCAAAGAGATTAGTTTTATGTCAAAGGAAGTACCGAAGTTCCAAGAAATTGTACTAAAAGAGAAACGATTGGCGCCGTAAGCGTAGGAAAACCCAACGCTTCTTGTTTTCCATCGGCAGGAAATATCAGGTGCGCGTTTAAGGGGAAGGTCTATAGAGTTACCATTATTTCCATGACGGCAATTATCTGATATGATTTACGAAAAATTGTAAAAGTAATTAATAATGACTTAGTAATGAAATATTATTACAATGTATCGAATCAACTGAAACGGGCTTTGATGTTTTCGAAAATGTTCCGACTAGTTGTTTTTATAAAATGACTTGCAATCATTTATTATTTATAGAATTCAACAAAAGTTTTTATTACCTAGCTCATGATATTTAATCGGCATCGGCAAGAACAGGAATAATCACTAAGATGGTTTTTTTTATATACGATACACGCTCTGTTATCACTATAGTAAAACTAATATATGAAATGATTTAGAGCTAAAAAGAGCATCAATTCTTAGCTTGATACGCACACTGTATGCTTGAGCATTTTCAGTGGAGGAGAGTGTTCAAAAGATGTCAAGACTTGTCTTGAATCCCCAATGATGGTTTGAAGCAGATCAAAAACAGCTGGAAGTAGCAGCAAGTTAAGGGCCATTTGATGAGAGCATTTCATGAGCAAAATTTGGTTAAAAATCCCTGTAGGCCCGAGTACCTACTAGGAGAATGCATTTTGAACGGTTCAAACTAACTGACCAATCTTAATAACCTTTTTCAAAGGCCGTCTAAGAGTTTAGCGCACAATGGGGTTTTATCAGATATTCCTCAGCTCTTCAGACATGAGAGAGAAAACAAAAATGTAAACAATTAAATGGCCATTTTGATAGGAGGACTCCATTTCACTAATTACAATGGGATTACAGGAATTTAATCAGGCATGCCCAACCTTCAAGACGATAAGAGCAAATATCAGAAAACATTGAATTCTTAAAAAGATGAAATCTCGAAAAAGCTCAAAAATATTTTGATTCTTGAAATGAAGAATTTTTTGAGAAAACTGCCAACATTTCCTTATCGATTGTTCACTTTCGAAAAAGGTCATTTAGTTTTCCCTTGAATGATGTAAAAATTTGCGTTCTTGCTCATTATTCTTCCGAGAAATGAGCAACAACGGGACGGAAAATATGAAATTTTAGCAAAATTTTTGCACCTAACTGTCTGATATTCAAATTTCGCTTTCTGGTTCAAAACTACTAGAATTTCCGCACTCATATTGGTATGTGTGAATCGAATTTTCAATTCTCTATCAAACGATGCCAAAACGAATGATGTGGCTCAAATGGTTCTTGAGAAACTTTGAAAAAGGCAGCGTGATGGCTGAGTCGATTTTGCGGCTAAAAAAAAACAAGCAACTCTAAAACTCATTGAAATCAAGAATTTTTTGAGAAAATTGCCAACATTTCCTTATCGATTGTTCACTTGCTAGAAAGGCTATTTAGTTGTCTCTGGAATGATGTAAAAATGAGCGTTCTCACGCAATCGGCTGCCGAGAAATGAGCAAAGACGGGACGGAAAACATGAAATGTTGGCATAATCTTGCACCTAAGTGTCTGATATTCAAATTTAGCTTTCTGGGTCAAAACTACTCAAATTTCCTCACTCACGTTGTTACGACTGAATCGAGTTTTCAATTCTCTATCCAACGATGGCAAAACGAATTATGTGGCTCAAATGGTTCTTGAGAAACTTTGAAAAAAGCAGCGTGATGGTTGAGTCGATTTTGCGGCTCAAAAAAAACACGCAACCCTAAAACTCCTTGAAATCAGGAATTTTTTGAGAAAATTGCAAACATTTCCTTATCGATTGTTTACTTGCTAGAAAGGCTATTTAGTTGTCTCTGGAATGATGTAAAAATGAGCGTTCTTGCTCATTTTGCCTCCGAGAAATGAGCAAAAACGGGACGGAAAACATTAAATTTTGGCATAATCTTGCACCTAAGTGTCTGATATTCAAATTTCGCTTTCTGAATCAAGACTACTTGAATTTCCTTACTCATGTAGTTATGACTGAATCGAATTTTGAATTCTCTATCCAACGATGCCAAAACGAATTCTGTGGCTCAAATGGGGCTTGAGAAACTTCTAAAAAAGCAGCGTCGTGCTAGAGTCGATTTTGCAACTAGAAAAAAACACGCATATCTAAAACTTCTTGAAATCAAGACTTTTTTGGGAAAATTGCCAACATTTCCTTATCTCACTTTCTAAAAAGACCATTAAGTTTTCTCTCGAATGGTGTAAAAATGAACGTTGTTGCTCATAGTTCTTCCGAAAAATGAGCAAAAGCGGGACGGAAAACATGAAATTTTGACATAATCTTGCACCTAAGTGTCTGATATTCAAATTTCGCTTTCTGGGTCAAAACTACTCGAATTTCCTTACTCATATAGTTTGACTGAATCGATTTTTCAATTCTCTATCCAACGATGCCAAAACGAATTTTGTGGCTCAAATGATCCTTGAGAAACTTAGAAAAAAGCAGTGTCATGTTTGAGTCGATTTTTCTCTTCTTCTCGAGATTTTTGTAGGTACTCTTTGTAAAAAACTGTAGCGTTATACTTTATGCGCAAAAATGTATAAAACACTTTCTTTGTTACGTCCCAGTTTGTTTTCGGATACTTTATAGATTATCGCATTATCATCCACAAATACCTATGAACATAAGTGGGTCATCTGGGTTAATCCCGAACATCTTTCTTTTAGAGTTACTGTTCTTACATAAGACTTAATTATTGGCAAATATATTTGATGAAAATCCCAATATTCCGTATTAATGACCAAACCTGCCGAAGACATTAACCTGAATTAAAAATAAATGTTATTTAAATTACATTGATGAACAAAATGGGATTTAAAACAACAAAAAAAGGTTAATATATTTCTGCGGTTTTACGCCGAAAATTCGCGTTGTCAGCAGGGAGTGGTTTAATGTGTTATATTGTTTATTACCACAAAATGCAGAAAAAAACAAGCTGACTTTGAATAGAACAGAATACATATCTGCGGTTTTATGATTATATACTGAATAGGTAGCGATTTATAATACCTACCCGATAGGGATACAGCAATTTATAATTGATAAAATATGGAATTTATTCAGTAAATAATGTTTGAAGGCCCTTAATGTTCCTTTGAACAGTTACAAGGGTAAATAGCTTAAGAGCTATAGTAGATCAGAAATCGACTATAAAATGATGGCTGAAAATGAAATGCGCGAGTAATTTATTAAATCACAGTCGAAATACATTAAATTGAGGATTAAATAGGCAAATTACTCATTTGCCGTAGTGTAAATCATTGAGAATATGTGAAAAGTTGGTGGTAAAATTCGAATAGTCCCACAAGAGAGTTAACCTTAAAATAAATTAAATCTATCACGGACTTACCGCTGATGATCAAAACGATGGTGTTATATAGAACATAGCTGAATTTTCCCGAAAGAAACTCACTTTTCACGCACATAAAAAAAGTTTTTCATTAAAATATCCAAACTGACTTGAACCGTTACATTGTTGCCGGATTGTTTGAATGGCTAAGAGGTGTGGGCTACCCGTTGGCAATTTCTCAAGATTTTCCGCTTTCGCTCAAAAATTATGAAAAATAAACACGCAGCTTTCAGGCCCAAAATTTGCAAACAATTTTTGAAATCAACAAAAAATTTTCAACAGCAGATTAAAATTAATATTTATATATAAGTATTAAAATTTTATTTTCGTCGAAATACAAGAATTTAATAATAATTCTCGCAATTAATGTGTGTCAATATTGATTAAACGTTTTTTCCAATATTAGAAAAAACGCGTTTTTACGCAGAAGTTGTGCGACTGCTGCGCTTCAGAACTCGATGGCCGGCGCATAATAGGTCTTTGGACTTTTTAACGGCCATTATGAAAGACGGTGACATTTATTGCCGTCATTTTTAGCAGGGTTATTTAGTAGTTTTCATCGTGCTGGTGAATAATTCAGCGAAAAATCGTTCAATTTGTTATCAATTTTGCGATATATTTATTGCCGATTTAGGAAAAAGGTATGTAGAAGTCAAAATTTATTCGTTTAATTAAAACTTTATGTGTTATTTGTATATGCGACAAGGTATGTGCTTGGGGCCCCAGAGAACCAATTTTATACATTTTTTTTCCAATTTATATTTAAATACATTATTCAAAATTAAACCGCGATTGCGCTGAAGCAACGGATTTACCATTTTTCAGAATCTTTTTGCGCAAGTGCAGTTATGAAATAAAATTTAATAAATCCAAACATAACCTCAAAGGGGTCCTCTAGTTCTTGGGCATAATTTTACTTAATAAATGAGTATAGAAACAACTTGTAAGTCTTTTAGGGACCCCCGAGTCAAACCCCTTAAACATCCTTGGTTTAAGCTTGGGATGTGCCACCAATTCTGTAGGTAATTGCAAGCAACTCGCTCAATTTGCCCCTTTTTCTTAAGCCTTTCTCGAATAGATAGTACAATTCTTTGTTCTTATTTAGATGTCTGAGGAGCCGGGGACATCAGATTCTACACGCCATATCATCGACGACCATTTCACTCGCTTTAAGCTGGATTTCAGGGTCGGCCAGGGAACGTTTTCTAATGTGTACAAAGCAATCGACACTGTAAGAGCATTTGAACTGCTTAGCGTTATAATATCTAAAACAATGCATTTCAGAAAACCAACGAAGTCTTAGCTCTGAAATGCTTCATTCAGGAGATGAAGAACGTGAAAAGATACCATTTTGCTGCCAGAGAAATCGCTTTTATGAAGATACTGGAACATCCCAACATTGTGCAGCTTAAATCGTTTGAAGTCAATGTGGAGTAAGTATGAACCTTTTTTGTCATCCTGCAATGGATGGAACACTTAACATTAAACACAAAACACTCCAAGGGCGGATCTAGCGTTGAAACTAGGAGGACCAAGTTGTTGCGATTTAGTGAGGACAGGTTTCAATTCAATTAAAACCCCTTAAAAAGAAATTGACTTGTCGAATGAATTAAGTTTCTCTGAAGGCAGGCGATCCTCTAGGTCATTTTTTAGTTAGTTAGTTATTGGCTCTATGTGTTGGGCTGAACTAGAATAACGGCGAATTTAATTTCCGCATATAGTTGCTCAGCTACCACTTTTGCATCTTCAAAAATCTGTTGGGAAACTATTTTTGAGCAACTTTTGAACAAAACCTGTCCTAGATTCATTCGAAGGTAAATCCGTCTCGAGTCAACATTAATTGATTATAACTTTGAATACAGTTCAAATTCGTTTAAATTCAAGAACTGCCTTCTACTCTAGGTAACTACGTGGAATTGTTGTCAACAGTAAGTATAAAATATATCCGTTACCCTTTAGTAATGCACCGTATACCCTGATTGAGTTTTGCCACTTTAATTCAAAATTAAGTGTTAATTGGTTCCAATCTACCAAAACGCGCATCACAAAGCGGTGTAAAATAAAGCTTCGACAACGTGATGAAACTCAATAACCGTATTGTGCCTGTGGACGGTTCCAAGACCAAAGGATATTTAAGTTGTCCCATCTTAAAATGCCTAAATTATGACCCACTTTTCATACGACTAATAGTATTTGATAAGTTAAAGCAGAACTAAGTTTCTTTGACCCGGATAGTGTCGCGAATATTCTTGCTTTAACAGCCTTTTTAAACGGACTAGCTGATAAGCCGTAAATATCTACTTTATTACGACAGTAATTCAAAATATGGATTGCCCGAAACCGTCGCGTTTTAATTTAGAAATAAGTGGACGGCGTGCAAAGTAAAGTGATGGACTTCTTCGCGTTTTACAGCAAAGGAAAGTGAATAATACCTGGATGTATATCTTCAAATGAAACACTCTGTTAATCTACTGATGTAATTGTTCGACAACCACTGAAAAGCTGCTGCGAGGAATCGGTCACAACTTAAATTCATGAACTGATATAATTTTTGTAAGTATAAAATGTATTATATGTCTATGTAATATATTAGTATAGTATACTCATTAAATATTTTTAAAATTTTTTAATTTTTTTTATTTGTTCCGTTTTTGACCCGAACTTCGATAGGTCTACTGTACTTATTTATTATTTTCAAGAACACACCCTGTTTATTTTTATTATCAAGCTGTATACGTATATTGTGGTAAATAATTTTTGTCAAATTTACCACGCTTACACCTAAAATGATGAAAAATTATGTTTATAGTATATTTATGATCCAAAATAGTGGATCATGTATTGTAGGGATTTTTATTCAGAGTACCACAAGAGATGTATTTATATGTCGACACCAAATAAAAGGCAAATTTTGCATATTCAAGTTTTAGATTTGTGTTCATTGGAACAGAGTTCGCATCCTTTGGATGTCTATTTCGGTTTTTGGCAAAGCAGAAACCCCTGCCTGAGAAATTCATTCAAGACGTGATGAAACAGTCTGTTTCTGCTCTTGACTACATGCATAACTTGGGCGTTTTTCACGGAGACATCAAGCCGCACAACATATTATGTTCCGGTATGAACAATTTCACCCCCATCGTGAAAATATGCGACTTCGGGTTTGTGCCAGATTTTTTACATTAGTGTCAATTTTCAACTAACTTTTATCCTTTAGACTATCAGAAATTAAACTAAAAGGAAAATGCATGACGTTCTATTCGGGCTCTTATTTGTTCATGGCGCCTGAGGTTTATTTGAAGCAAAATGTTGATGTAACTTGCGACTTATGGTCGTTGGGAGTCGTTATGTACAACATGATGTTCTGTCGCAATCTGTTCAATGTGGATGAAGATGAAGTTCAGAAGACAATCCGCCTCGTGAGATGTCAGACTGTTCCAAATGTAACAAGGTTTCCTCTAACAGCATTAAGTAGAGTAGCAAAATCTGCCTTTTTAGTATGATGGGAGCGAAATATATTCAGCAAACTGCAACGACTTACTCAGACGCCTACTAATATATGATAAAACGGTCCGAATTCAGGGCGCAACGTTGAGAGCCCATCCTTTCTTACGATTGGAAGCACCCAAGACCTACGAAGACGGCTACTTTCTGGAGCGAGCGCAATCACACATCGCTTCTGCTACAAATCATGCCAGTAATAAGAAGATCGCTGACGCTCTTGTAGATGGACTTCAAGCCCAGCTTGAACTAAAGATACACTACAATTTACTGCGAGATGAGGGCCAACGAAATTACCTTGTGCAAAAATTGGAGCAGTTTCAAAACTTTATCTACGACGTGGAGAGTAAATTAAGTTCAACTCCCGAATTAACTCGTGAAGCTATGGAGAAAGGAGTGACTGATGCCGAGTTTAAAACATATCTTGCATCAACTCCCAAAATGCTTCAAGGATTCGATATTGGACTGCGCGCGGAAATGTTTCAAATGGAGCACAAATATGCAAAAATGGTATGCATCGATATCTCCACATTCTTCAAGTACGTGCAGAAATGGCATATATTTAGTCAATTCGTACTCCAATATTATTATTGCTTCACTTAAACTAACGGCTGGTACATAACAAGTTTGCCTCTATTTCTGCACGTGCTTCTTAAAAATTATGTATAATTTGCAAAACATTTTACACTACTTCAAAGTTCTTGTTTTCAGTTATTGCAGTGGATTGAAGCAATCGAAGCTTTGACCGCAGCAGTGGATGGAGGCGGAAGCAGCCACCCGGTAAGAAATTAAAGAAACAAGACTGATGATACTAGTTTCTTTGTTTAATATTTAGTCGCGTTTCTATCTAACTGGTTTGCCAAAAAGATTTAAAATTTTGTCAAAATTTCCCACTTCCGTATTTTAACAATGAAGCTATTAACATATGTTTCACACCTTTGTTATAATTTCATTACATTTAAAAAGAGATATGACACAGTTAGATGGTTCGTTATGCGAGATTATATGATAGCTACCTGAATTGTTCCTGATGAAAAAAATAGTGTTATTGTTGTATCCACTGGATTCTTAAACAGACTTGCATCTTATTGCCATAGCAGGGAGTTTAGTTGATATTTTAGTATATAAGGTTGTTTTGTACATTTCTTGTAATCATTTACAGCTTCGTTGATAATAAAACTACTAAGAATTAAAATTGACGTTTCTTTTTATTGTATGATTGCACCTAATATAGTAGCAACCAAGTAGAGTAAATCAGCCCATTGAAATATGTCTATGGCCAATTTCTTCCGAATATTAGGCAGTTCTGATGGTAATGAGAGCGAATTTAAATTTTTCATTTCACCAGTTAATTTAAAAATATATAATTGTTGGTTTGTCATCAAGACCCTATGCAATGGGTAAAGTTATGGGCTTATTTGTTTCAGTTGAACTCGTTGAATCCTTGCGTTTATGTCGACTTGCTTTAACATGAACTCGTTGAATATATTTCCATATTATTTATGTCATTTTATTTTACTATTAAAAAATAATTACTTTTTCAGTAACATGTAAAATTGGATTGATTCTCTGAAAAACTTTAATTAAATTGAGCATTAAAAACCTTGCTTAAAGCATTCATCACAGGACAAATCCCTTAAATTCCTTTTGCTTATTTGCCCATTGTCTCAATGTTTTTTCAACCCCAAATCAATTTTTCTTCCTACTTACTCGCCCCTTATATATTTCCTATGACTATATAGTAGAAACAGTGATTCTGTCTTTCATAAAAATTTTATTACTGATATTAACAAAGTCACACCACAGTTATTGCAAAAAATATAGCACTTATACCGTTTAATTTATAAAAAATGATAATATATTCCTTATAAAATACTTATCGCTACAATAAACCTACAATGCGAGTCAAAAATGAATTGAATAAATGTTTAAAAAAATATCACAGGATCCTATAAAATAAAAATGACAAATTGTTACATTTACTCTGCGTATTTAAAAATCGAAAATTTGCTTTACTTACAAAAGAGCATTAGCACGAATAAATAGATGTGCCACAGTTTTCAAGATATTCCACAATTGGCGCTGTTACGTTTGTTTTGATGTATATCTATAAATTTATTGTCGAAGGAGTGGATGCAATCGGTTTAAAATTAAATTAATTGTCTCGAAGGTTTCACATTAAATTTTTACAATACCGAAGAAAAGTTCGGAGGATTGGCTAATTTAGAATATTACTGCTGAATTTCAAAAAAAAAATCTAAAAAAACTGGTGCAAACTTAATAAATAAAAATGTATTTGCGTAAATAGAATGCATAATAAGGTATCATTGATCAATTCCTTGATGAAAGTATCCCATAACAAATAACTATAAATATGTTTTTTGCAGATTTAGAAATATTCAGGAGCAAATGTAACTGTTGTAGTTATTAAGAGCAACTCGGGCGTATTAGCATTCATTCATATTAAACATTGTCGAAGTCCCTGAAGTAAGATAATTAATATGTTGCTTGATAAAAGAACGATTTGGGGCACTAGACCTGTACTGGGTACAATAATATTTTACGTTGCGATCTTCACATTATGTAATGCAACCAAACCGATTATTCAGTTGTTCTGGTGAATTTTAAATACATATACACTTTATATCTTACTCCCATAATAAATTTTAAGATTTGAATATTTTCAACTATATAACTATGTAATTAGTGCAAAAGTAACATATGTTCTTATACCAGATAATTTGAACTAAGATAATTAATTACAGTAAGTATGTACATTTACTTTACTAGTCATTGGCGATACACTAACAAATATATCGCATAATTTATTAGTCTTTTTTTCCTTAACACTTTTTGTGCTTTTTTGCTGCTGGGTACTGTAAGTTCGATTTATTTTATCCAAAATGATGTATGTAATTATTATTGACTAGCTCTATTTGCGATAGCAAATTTCAACACTTCAGTTAAAATTATTACTTTAGTCAATAGTCAAGTTTACTGCAAGTAAAAATATATCAATTGAGTGCTTTTCGCATAGTAAAACGACATAATGAAATTGGAGATCGGAAAGTCCCCAAGGGAGGCCGTAAAACACATTTGAGATTGCAATATTTGCGATCGTGTAAGTATTAATAAAAAAAATGTGTTTATGCCGAAGAAACACGAATAATATTAAGGAATACTGATCGAAGTGGTTGAGAATACCAAAGATCTGGAGAGAGTTTGCAATATTTAATCTTACAAAACATTAACTTTGGGGACGGTTTTACGGTTTGGGATGGCATCAATTCCAAGAGTTATACGAAGGTTTCTGAGGTAAATTTAAGAATGCATGCTGACTAGTTGTAAAAACGATGCTCAGGAAGCTTTCAATAAGAATTCATTCAGATCAGGAACTGAAAAGAGAGACTCAAGTTCACTATTATATTGTCGCTATTGTTACTCTTTATGCATAGGCAACGTACGCAAAATACTGCGGAACCAGCACCCAAAGTATTTAAGGAAAAAATGATAAAAATAAAATATGTTATATTTTTGTTCGTGAGTACAATTTCTCCTTAATAATATCAAACACCCAAATCAGAATTTTATGAGCACACTGCCTTAAACAGAACAATTCAGAAAAGTTTCTAATACACTGCTGAATAGAAGCATGTGATTTTTGAATTTAACTGAGTTACATAAGAATTTTGAAGAATTTTTTATGTAGTTTCATTTTTAAATAACTCGCAGAAATGAAGTATATGTATTTCCGAATCACCCTACATATAATAATTGCATGATATATTCGTAAAAAAATACAGTACTTACCTTTTTGATAGTACTTACTAGACAAGTACCTTACTCTACAGCTTCTTATTATATGATCGAATTTATAGGTATTAGTAAGTTCAAGAACCAATAACCGCAAACGTGCAATTACTGGTTATAATTGGCTCTTTGTCTGGACGGATGATGTTATGAGTAAATTTTGTCAACCTATTAGGGTATTAGGTAATTAGTACAAAAATAATATGCACTGTAAGAAAAATTTAATAAATAAATATTTCTCCCCTTTTAGGGTTTTCAACATTTCGAATTTTAAAAATACTTGACCCTTTTTAAATCAAAGTAACCAATTTTAAATATCAATTCGCGGTCTATACTGTAAAGTTAAGGGCGGGTTTTGAAACCTCCATCTCGTTACGTAAACAAATTTTAAAGTATGGTCTTTCCCCAAAAGTTCATCATTGCAAAGAATATCAATATCTCTATATTTTTCCATGCCATTTAGTACTTTCATGGCAACAAATTTCTTCAAATGAAGAATAGTTGCTTGAGCAGAACACCGAATAAATCGCCTTTTCAGAGTCTTTAGGCTTGAGCTAATACATTCCAAGCACACGTTAACTTGCTCATCTTGCCTGTGGTAATCTGATTCTGCATGAGGGTCTGGTTCATGGTCTCCATTGCTTTCACCATTTGTAAGGGGTATATCTTTGGGATTTGGTAGCCTTCTTGCTTTGTAAAACTCTCTTTCACTTTCTATTTCATCTATAAATAATAAATAATATAAATTATAACAACAACTTACCATGCTTGTTTATAATAATTTATGACAAAAACCCAAATTACAGAAGTTAAACATGTTTATTAAGCAAAAACATTGCTTCTAAAGTGTGTCTGAATATCTTGGTGAGAATTGATCAAGAACCTTTTTGATACTCTCTACCTTGTGGTGGGGGCCACTTAAGCAACATAATGAATACAAAGTGACTACTTACTTTTCTGTAGATCTGGGACTAGCTTGTAAACAATATCTTGCATTGTCCGATCAAAGCTAATGTATTGAAGTGGATGTGATTGATGTATGACTATTTTGCATGTTGGACAAGTGTTGTTTTCCTCCAGATGCTTCACCAGACAGCTTTTACAAACTGAAATCAAAACAGATAGATGAAGGTACATTGAATCTTTCGATAAAAGTTTCTACTCACAAGTATGCAAGCACTCCGTTACCGTGGTTGCATCTATCAGATAGCCCCTACAAATTTTGCATGTTATGTGATTATTTAGGGTTTTTAACTTAATTTTTCTTTCCATCATCATAATATACGGGAAATCATAATTAAAACACTTGAAACGAAACCCATAAATGTTTAAAACAAAAAACCATAACCCTAGTTTTTTATTTTTATTTCATCAACAGACAGCAACAGGAAATGCTTGGATGCCAGACTTCTCTACGTCTGTCGTTAGTGTCGTTCAAAATCATCCAATTATATGTGACTCAGGGTTGCCGGGTCGAGAATTACGAAAGTGGTATAATAGACATAAAAAAACTGAATATTTAAAAATAAAAGCTTAGTTAATGAAATGTTTGGAAATTTCCGTTTCAAATATTAAAAAGTTTGCCTTAAATAATTGTTAAGATCAGGGGCTCTTCTACCGCTTTTAGCTCGCGATATTAAAAGAGCATCGGTAGTTTATCCCATTTTCTTTTTAAAAACTTTCACCTTCACGCAGAAACGCACTTTCTATTAAAAAAATTTAACGCCGTTTGAGCCTACTTGGAATTTTTTGAAAATGAAAATATTCTTGCCGAAATAATGCAAATACACAAAACAAACGTCGTTGAATGATTTGTTGGAGCATCTATTGACATTTTTCGAGTTGTTGTGTACATGTTAAACCGGTAAATCTGGCAAGACTGATGCGACAAAAGAAGTGGACGGATATTGGACGTGTAGTTCTCCTTTTCTAGTAGCATTTTTCCAGTTCTTTCTCACTGGCGGATTTTCAAGCAACCAATTTGGATTGAAGCGAAAAATTAATATTACTGGCCTCATGAAGCCTAAAAATATGTACAACTATATATTTTTTATTGATACAAATCGGCGTAACATACAAGGTTTTTAGAAGTTTTCCATCAGTTACAAAGTTTGAAAGCTTCAGGGAAAAATTATATATGCATACATTTTACATTTGACTAGTAAAACATTTGCCAGATCGTTAGGCGAAGAACAAAAAGCTTCCCGCCTTCTGACATTTTTAGAATTTCTCTTATTATAACCTCAGTTTTTGAATATGAAACGTTTGGAATGCCACAATGTTATGTTTAATTTTGAATAATCCGCAGTTGTTCACGATTAATTCCATGTGAAACTCTTAAAAACAATACGAAATTCTGTGAGTTAATAGTGGTAAAAATGTCCTTAATACCCACGGAGGACGTTTGGAACTCCCTCAAGGAACTGAGGACCACTGTTTGGAAATACTTGAATCAGCCACACGAATCGGATTTACCTTCCGCCGATTTCGAAAACATCCTAAGAAAACATAAACAGCACTTTTTTAATTTGCTGCACAACCCTGTAAGTAGTAGGACTTACAAGTTCATTACCGGCTTGCCTAGAAAGTTTGTGTACGATAGTTAACCTCAAAAATGTAATAAACATTTTTGAGGCGTTTTTGAGTATTTTTACAATCTCTATACACGTTTACAATACTATGATGGGACAGTAATGGAAAAGTTTTCATTATCAACTCCCTACCAAATGCACTCCAGCTATTTTTTAGCACGGATATGGATGCAACATATCATGCGAAATAATTTTCAATAAGCTCTTAAATGGTTTGATTAATTTTGATTCGCAATTAGCAAAAGAAATTAATTTGGGCTTCCATGGGGGTTTGATAGCCTGATGTTGCTATCGAAACATCAGGCTTCTTCGACTTTGCGCTATTAGATTTTTTTCTTTGGGGACTCTTAAGGAATAAAGTTTACCCCTGTAGATTCCCAAGAAGAATTGTTACGTAGGGCTCAAAACGAGAGGACCGCACTACGGAATGATGCAGAAATGTTGAGTAGCTGCCAATGCAATTTTGAAGGTCTTGCGCAATTCGGGATTATGGGAAACGATCGTTTATGGGATTATCATCCAGGTTCAATGGAGAATCAACAATCATGTCACTCACGCTTGGCCTTATTTATACATACCTACACACTTCCTTACATAAACTTGTTTGATTGAATTATATTATTATTATCATTATTTTTTCTTGTTGATGATTTCTGATTGGGTAAAGTACAGTCAATGTCAAATGACTGATTAATAAGTACTCAAATTATTTAATTGAACTAATAAATTTTCAACGTTTATAAAAATAATATAATAAATTGCACTTGTGTGTGGTGCACATGTGGTGAGAGTGGCTGTGCTCTGATCCTGATACAGCGCAATCAAAGGCTCTTATTTTTTTGGCGCAAAAACTATGAATCCTTCATGATTGTATCTGATATGTATATCGAAAATGTAGTAATGCGGACACTAAAAAAAATAGAAATGATTCCAGCTCTCAAGTAAAAGTCCTGATAATTTTCGTACCAAAACCACTCAGGAATTTACCATTTGCTCAATGCCGATGGACGCGGAAGCTTAATCAAAGTATGAGCCTTACGTTGGAACAATCCCATAGCTAGTTTTATTAAAATGATTGTATTACAAACGCGTAGTAAAAGGTCTGAGAAAAGTCTTGTCTTTTCAAGACACTTAATTTTGAGGTGAAAACTCCAACAAAAAGGTTTTGAACATATGAATCCACCTGAATCAAACAGAACTTATCTCCTTTTGTCTCATATGTATATCAACCACTGGAAAACTTACAAAGGGAATTTGAAAAGGTTCATAACAACTAGGGCTCGGAATCAAACTCGAATAATTCGAGTATTCGAATATTCAAATATTCAAAAAGCGAATAATTATGTGTAGTCATAACTTGAATAATCGAATACTCGAATACACTAACATTATCAAACTCACAAGATGCAAATATCTTTATATGCACTTTGTATACTTTTATAAAATAAATGATTCATATTCTACAAGCATTTAAACAAATACCCATATATTTACAAGCAAATGAAAATAATCATATTTACTCTCCTGCAAATGAATATAAAATTACATCTCTGTGTTTTGGTCATTCGCGTCATCAACTTTTGCGCGGTTACAATTAATGTGCCGACAAAGGCACTTTTTTATCCGTTGCGGCTAGTTGCCAAAAATGATATAACGATTTTTCTTCTTGGAAAACGGAAAACGAACACTCTCATCGAATATTCGAATACTCGATTATTCGAATATTCGTTAGTTATTCGAGTATTCGAATGATTTTACTATTCGAATAAACCACTAAACAAATATTCGAATTTCAGATTTTTAAAAATTCCGAGCCCTAATAACAACTGCTTCCCGTCTTTGTTATTGGCAATGAATTGTTTTGTGAATATATTGAATGAGTTGTTGCAGAAATCATTTAAAATTTGTTTTAGCCCAAAAATGCAAAGAAACGGGAAGAACTAAAAAGTGGCATGGTAAATGGCATGTACGTAAAAGGCCTGGGCAGTCAGGAATTGTCCAAAGAGCTGTATCAAGAAACTATAATTTTATCGGACATGTTCGATCTCAATGAACTAGTTGCTTTGGATTTGTTATGCACTGCCCAAATCCAAATGCCTTATTATCCTGGTAGGGTGTTTATTTTCGTCTAGTTTCCACCGATATAAATTTGTTTAAATTATTCAAGGTTTGGCAAGAGGTTTAGTGGCAGTACTTTTATATTATGATGGACGTAAAGCTTTGTTGTCTACTCTGCTGTGTCTAGTGCAGGTAAATTTCTAGATATACGCCTGCTACAGTTACTTATGTACGATGTATTTGTTTTAATATTAGGCGCGAAATGGCATTCAATGGCGTGTGAATGTCAAACCTGAGTTATCCCGGTTTGTAACCGATTACACAGACCAACTATTAGATGGAGGCATTCTAATTAGAGTCTTGGAATTACTTACATTGCTGGACTGGGGCAAAGAATATCACATGCTACAAGAAAATTTAGCACTAGGTAAGTTACATCTCCAGCTGTATAGTAGCAAAATTTAGCAAAAGTACATTTGTGATTAGGTGACGCGAAACACCGGCGTCAAATCACAGATTTATTCAACGATATAAGGACAATTCTGGCAGATGTAATGTTTTCCTGGGCCACACAATGTGGGTTACCAAAAGACTGCACTATTGCACTTTTAAACCATTTGAAACAAGTGAAAATTGAATTTGAAGCATCTGGATACATTGACGATGTTATTTTGTATTTGCAAGTAAGTGGAAAGACTCCAAGTTCCAGTTGGAAATAAATTTGAATAGAAATAAAATTGTAATACGTTTCAGATGGCTTTATTGTCAGCCATCGATCTCAGTATCTTCCATACAAGAGAAGATGGGGAAGAAGCAGTTCAATCATTACCCATCCTGTCTGATACAACATTTATTTCAGATGTTGCAAACGAATTATTACCACCCTGTTCTGAGTGGGCATGCGAAGGTTAGTTTGCAATAATTACTAGATTTTTTCACGCATCTGAAATTGATTTGAAGGTTTACAGGCACTTACAACCTTCGGAATGTCGGTGTGTTTAGCATCTTTAAGAGTTTTGCCTCAAAACTACGTCTACCAAGATGCTATTAACAAAGAAGATGTGTTAGTGGACATGGCTATTGAAATGAACGTATTCACATTCTTGCATAATATAATACTTGAAAGTAAAACACTTTACCAAGAGCAATTCTTATACAAAAGAATGCACAATCTGCTCACAGATTTTGTCGTTTACATGTATCCGAAAGTAAAGGATTTGAGAATGAAAGCAAATGAAGTTTCGAGAACTTTGCAAGTGTATATAAGAGAAGGTCTGGAAGCTCCCGCCAGTTTACCAAGGTAGATATTGATTGAAGTACGTATTTCTTTGCCGAAGCTTGTAGCTTTACTTTTAGGTATTTCGAATATTTGTTGTTAAGTATAGGGAAATTCTATACTAATAATATCTTGGATGGTGAATACAACCTAAACTGGTGGAGTCCTATTGAAATAAATCCTGACAATAGCTTAAATATTAGAATTCCCCCCAGATCTGTAGCTCTATTCAAGCTTATAAAACTGGCGGGTAAGTTTCAAGAGAAACATGTGAATCTCTGTCTATTTTGTGTGTGTTTTTAGGTGACATTTTGCCAGCTACATTGTTTGTGCCTTTCATTAAAATGTTGAGTGGTTTGTCGGGGACTGCCGAAACTGCCAAATATTGTTTTAATTTACTAAAGCAATCAGGTAAACCCACCTTAAATCAACAGTGGTTCAGAAATTGGATTATTTTTTATTCATTTTAGGAGTTCATTTGTCGCATACGCTCACTTGGGACCATTTCTTCCAATCTTTCTCGCAATATTTTAACAACCTCAGGCAAGAGGCCCCTCCGCAGGCTGACACGGTCTATCGATTAAGACCCGGCTATCACAAGGGAGTCAACCCTCAAGAATTAGAAGGTACATTTTAACTTTGAAAAACCCCATCACCAACTAATAAATGCAATCTTGCAGGACTCCAAGCGGTATTGTTACTAATCAGAACTGTTGCCGACCAAGATCAATTCGTTCGATTGGCGATTTGCGAACATCCGGGCTGGACTCCATTGAATGTTCTCTTAGGTATTATTAACTGAATCGATGCCCGATGCAAATTTAATTAATAAACTTTTTTTCCAGGACTGGTTAGCTGTTCAGTTCCTCTCCCTTTTAAAGCAGACTTGCTGCTCACTTTAGCCTCCTTATCAAAATCAGTCAGCAATGCCAATCGAATGTGGAACAATTTAGAGGCATCACAGATTTTGGTGACAATTCCTACGACTTCCAGTTACGTCCCCAAGTAAGTGAAATATTATTTGTAGGAAATTTGTTATAATGTGATTCATGATTGGTTTTTGTTGACGGTGTGTGAAAGAAAATTGTAGCATAGTGTGGACGGTTTACTTTTCGCTCTAGTGAATACATGCATATTTGAGATTCGTGGATGTTCGAATCGTGTTTACGTCGCAGTTTTGTCGCGTTAGTTTTGGACACTAGGCATGGGTAACTCAGTTAATTTTCAGGAGTTGGCGCAATGATGCCGAAATGGCTTGGTGCGCCAACCCAACGCACCGGCTCAATAACTAACCGGTGCAGTTGCGTAATTTGCACCCATTTGGTAAAATGTTACTCATAAAGAATATAATGGATAATAATTTTGTTAGGTGTTAAAATTACAGTCCCGGGCCTCAAAAAGCTTTAATCCGGCCCTGGGTTAAATGCTCAGCGTAATTCGAAGTGCGGCACAGTGAGACGCGATGAGTTATAACGAAAAACTCAAAAATGAAAAATAGTCTCCACGTTCACTCGCGTTGTGCGCTCTAAATACCGACAAAATTTCGAACCACTCATCGTGAAGAAAATTTTTGCAGGATTTCAAAGAACTATTGCGGGACACATTTCGAATTGAGTTCTTCAAAAACAGATTTTCCAAAAACGAAAATTACTTTACAAGTTCAGAGTCTTGCGCTCTAAATGTCGTCAAAATTTCTGCAAACCTTCGAAAATTCATTCAAATTACATGAAATCCTGAATTTTACGAGCTTCGTAAATGTTGATGTGTAAATGAACGCTTTTACGCATATGCAGGCTCTTTAATACAAAATTTCACCTTCCAAAATCAAGCGTTAAATATTGACAATCTGCAAAAGCCGTTTTTTTTATGAAATTTTGTCGTAAACTTGCACCTAAATGTCTGATATTCAAATTTCGTGTGACTTTTTGTGACAATCCACGAGAATTTACTCACGCACGTTGTTATAACTGAAACAAATTACCAATCCAATGACATAAAATCGAACTCTGTGGCTCAAATTGTTCTTGAGCAACGCCAAAAAAGGCGGCGTCTTGTTTCGTCAAAGCCAAACTTATTTGAAATCAGCAAAGCAAATAGAGAGAAATATAAAGAATTCATAAAACCTCAGTAGCTTGTCGGAAAACTAAACTCAGTTCAAGCTAATAGATTTATACATTGGAGATCATTCTTACCAGCTTTTGCAAGCTGTCGCCCTATCCTCCATTTTCTACCCAACAATGATCACAAAGGTCCCTACACTTTCATAAACTACCGCACTTGCCATAAGGGCCACAATGATTCTATATTATCCATCTAAGAATGCGATTCTCACGACACAAAGGATTATCGACCGATTTCGTCTCCTGTCGGTTGCAAACTGTATATACATTTTCGCAAAAAGTACAGAATAAAACTGATTACATAATCATTTACTTGTTCGCCCTTCCGAATGAGTCATTGCTCTTGCTTGGCAGTTCGATTTCAGTTTGTTTATTGTTGACATTTTTGTAGATAGTGTATTCGCATTGCAATATTTGCAAAGGCAAATTTCACGTTCCAACTTAACGAAACTCAACAACTAAACGAAAAACGCTCCGAACGCCGATCTTTCATTGATTTAATTTAAAATTTAGAGTTATTTATATTAGTCCGAATTTCACTCAGCTGCAGTGATTAATGCACAACAAAATTAAAATTAATAATAAATTTTGTTCTTTTGAAAATATTGACTAAACTAAAAAACCGCAAAGAAATCACTTAAAAATGAAACTGTTGCTCAATTTCCAGCGATGATAGAAACCAACAAAATTTCAACTAATTAATAATGTCCTTTAAAAGTTCTGATTTCAAGAATTATTCCGCCACAAGCGCAATTCGAGGTGCGGCGCAGTGAGGCACGGTGAATTATAACTCACAGAGGGGCATCAACTCAAAATGCAGCATAACGCGACACTATCGCAGCACTCCCGATGTACCAAAATCTATGTATGATCGGTTTTTTAACAAACGATCAAATGAAATAGTGGCACAGTGGGGACGGTGTACTTTTCGGAACTTTGAAAACATGCATATTGGAAATTCGTGAAAATTCACTGGAAACGAAGTTTCCCGCGGGCGAAGCGTCGCACAATTTTTTTTCCATTGTTCGTACTTATTTGTGTAAATCTCTGTACTCGGTAATTCACTCGGAGCGCGGGACTTTACTGTAAGCTCTGTTTAGAAAATTCAGCACTTCCTAACAACCAAAATCCACGAACTTTTTCGTTTTCACCTAAAGGCAGGGACCTTTTTGGTTTTTGACTTTAGAGGCGTGGCATTTCTGCAAACGATGAGCTAGAAACTTGAATTGCCATTGTGCATGCTGCAAAATTAATATTTTTTAAAATAATTGGTTGAGTTGGTCATTAACTCTAGACTGCAAATTATTTTATAAAAATTTCACAGTCCTAAAGGCGGAGACCTAGAAACTTGAATTTTCTCTTCAAGATAGGGAAAATGTGTCTGTTTATGCTACAAAATTGACCTTGAAATGTTGCCTGGAAATTTTTTTTGGAAGGAAGATTTGGCTTTGTTTATGCTACAAAATAGCTTTTGGAATGTTGCCTGGAAATGTTCAGAACATTTGTAAAAATCGATGTTTAGTTCTAGACCTGCGGCATTTCTGCAAGCTTTGTTTGAAAACTTACTCACTTTCAAAGGCGAAGAGCGAGAAATTTGAGTTTTTGCCTCAAATTAGGGAAGAGTTGGCTTAGTTTATGCTGCAAAATTGACTTTGAAATGTTGCCAGGAACTTTTTTTGAACAATTGTTAAAATCGGTGTTCAGCTATAGACGAGCGACATATCTGCAACCTCTGTTTCAAAGCTTCCGGACTCCTAAAGATGAAGAGCGTGAAACTTGAAATTTTGCTTCAAATTAGATAATATTTGGTTTTGTTTATGTTACAAATTGCCTTAGGAATGTTGCCTGAAAATTTTCAGAACAATTGTAAAAATCGATGTTCAGTTCTAGACGTGCGGCATTTCTGCAAGCTTTGTTTGAAAATTTACGCACTTTTAAAGGCGAAAAGTGAGAAACTGGAAATTTTGCCTCAAGTTAGGGAAGAGTTGGCTTAGTTTATGCTACAAAATTGACTTTGAAATGTTGTCTGGAAAATTTTCAGAACAGTGTTAAAATCGATGTTCAGTTCTAGACGTGCGGCATTTCTGCAAGCTTTGTTTGAAAACTTACGCACTTTTAAAGGCGAAGAGTGAGAAATTTGAATTTTTGCCTCAAGTTAGGGAAGAGTTAGCTTAGTTTATGCTACAATATTGACTTTGAAATGTTGCCAGGACATTTTTTTGAACAATTGTTTAGTTCTAGACGTGCGGCATTTCTGCAAGCTTTGTTTGAAAAATTACGCACTTTTAAAGGCGAAGAGTGAGAAATTTAAATTTTTGCCTCAAGTTAAGGAAGGAGTTGGCTTAGTTTATGCTACAAAACTGACTTTGAAATGTTGTCTGGAAAATTTTCAGAATAATTGTAAAAATCGGTGTTCAGTTCTAGACGCGCGATGTTTCTGCAATATCTGTTTCAAATATTCCGGACTCCTAAAGATGAAGAGCGAGAAACTTGAAATTTTACCTCAAGTTATATAATATTTGGCTTTGTTTATGCTACAAATTGCCCTAGGAATCTTGCCTGGAAATTTTCAGAACAATGTAAAAATCGGTGTTTATTTCTAGTCGCGCTATATTTCACCACCTCAAAACTTTCAAAATCCTAAAGACCAAGAGCGAGAAAGCTGAATTTTCGTGTAAAGATAAGGAAGATGTGTAATACATATTTATGCTAACAGCTTCATCTATGATCTTTATTGATCTGGAGTAAAATAAAAAGCAAGTTGAATAGAGTGGAATTTTCTTAGGGGCATCGAAACGGAGCTTGATGAAATCGAGTCGCGCTTGGAAGAATATCCGCTTACCAGAGCCGTTTTGTGTTTGCTGGACACTTTAACAAACTTCGAAATACCCAGAACATTAGGAGCTGGTCCGAGAAAGCCGGGTTTTGAACCGTACTTTGATTTCATTATCAATTCGGTTTTCCTGAAATTTAATTCCAGGTAAATATAATTAATTCATCTCACTTTTATGGGTAGGTTCCGACCGATGTTCTTTTTATAGATCGTACCGAAATATAGTGGAAAAATGGGAAGTTGCACATCTTTGCTTGAAACTTTTCGAAAAGTTCCTCAACCAATACGATCCCATGGTAAATGTTCGATTAGTTAGCAACAATCAATTAAAAATTAAGTTCAATAGTGTGATATGTATATGTTTTTTGTGATACTTGAAATTTCGATTTTTTACGAATTAATTAGGTGAGAGACTTTCGCCAACAAACAGATGTTTCGCAATTTAACTGTCCTCCAGGTTATCATTTAATGATACAGTTGAATAACAACACAGAGGCCTTAAATATTGTACTTGATATGATTGATGAAGGGAGTCATTATTTCGAATCATATGTATCATTCCCGGGATTGGAAAAAGTGAAAGATTGCACCTTATGCTGTCTTAACATCATTCTCCGGACCTTGTATTTGTTTAATACGTTTTTAAGGTAACGTATGAACTAATGGTTGAAAGTTTTTAATAATTCGATTAAATTCTAGCAAGCTAACCGTGGCGGCTGGAGACACTAGAGTTCTTAGCTCTGTCGGTAAACTCCTAATGGCAATTAACAGACGATCGGGCAAGCCAGATCATTGTATTAACATTGCTAAATATGTTTGCTACCAACAATATTTACCCAAACATGCGTTGGTGGCTGTTAAGATTCTTAAACACATTACCTCAACAGTAATAAGCCACAATACGTTCATGAGTATTCTTACAACTTCCGAAAATACACAGGAGATCATTAAAAATGGGTTTATTCAATCCTTGGAATCTCAGCATGATGCCACATCAATTGGAAATAGCACCAAAACTGAAATTTTAGGGTCAGCATTTAAAAAAATGTGTAGTACATATTTTAAAAACTTCATCAATAAAAAATTTTAGACTCATGAAGCAATGTCTCGGATATAACTCGCCTAATTTCACACACTTTTTGATGGGTTTCGATCTGATGCGTGATGTGTCGAAGACTGAATTTCAATACCCTGGAGTAATGGGATTCCCTAGAACTTGCATTCATTCTCTGCTATCGATATTGGAATCAGTAATTTCCAAAACAGTACAACCACCAAGCGTTGCTATACTGGAATCTTGCTACCATTTGGTGTATCTGCTGGCTTCAAACCCCAAAACCAGCACACCATTCCTGAGATTCATTCGTCTTAATAAAATGTTTTTCATCTCCCATTTGAAAGAGTGCAAAACGGATATGAACAAAAGTAAGCAATTTAATTCGATATACTTGGATGTTTAATTTGACTGACTTAATCTGAATCAGGTCCAAAGAATCTTAGAAAAATCTCTTGGCTGATGAAGACCTTAGCTGTTGAGATGAAAGTGGGCAGCAATTGGAAGCAAGTTACTTATCTCAAACAACTTACCACTTTTCTCGGTAATGTTCCTACAGGTGAAGAGGGCCAAGACACAATGTTTTTGTATCAGTCGTTTAACATCGAATTGAAAAATCTACATGGTAAGTCATTGAAAGCGTTTGCTGGGTTTTTGACCAAAAGGTAATGTGGAAATAATTATTTTTAATACAGGTGTTCCTGAAATAGTGGACCCTACTACAGGCGCCCAAGTAACGGATAATAAGATATTACAAAAATATGCCGATGCTTGTGAATCTCTGGTGGAATTTGTGAACGCATGGAGACAGGTAGTCGAGGTAGTTGTAACCTGTATTCCCTTGGAGATTCTCAATGCGCGAGAGCAGCAAGTTTTCAGCATTACCTTGTTGCTTTGCCTATTAAGGAAAGTGGTGCGATCTGATTTGCTGCCGGAAGTTTACAGATTATTATCTGGATCTGTTTTGCTCATTATGAACAATATCAAACGGTACCCAAACTCAAATTGTCAATTTTCTAGAGGTTCTACGTGTTTCATTTTTAGGCATTATTTAAAGGAAAAAGGAGAATTTAACGTGGTGACTTACTATCTGGGGTAAGAAATAGAATGCTTAACATTTAAATGTTCTGTTTTAACTGTGGCAATTATCTAGGTCCCTTAAAGATATATTAGACTCTTTAGTACGATGGATAATGACTTCAGACGTTGTTGATGGAGAGCTGCGGATTAATTTATATGCCGCATTGGTTACTTTCTTACAAATGACAAGCGTTGACATGGATATTCATCAGGATAGGCTTAATAATACCGTTTATGTTCCAACTCTGGATGGCCCAAGGTATAGTAGTACTTTCTGTTGAAATGTTTTGCCTTTAGTTATTCGTATTAAAATCGGCAAAACATGCCAACAAGTTCATAGCCAATTCAGCAACTATATAAAAAAATTATCCAGGTCTAACATCAATCCTAAAGACAGACAAATCAAGCTATCGACAGACATTATAGACAACTTTGGAGAAAAACTCATGGAAATATTATGTCATGATTGCTTAGGAGGTAAAGGGATTTTTACCCGAATGTCGACAGATTCAGCAACGTTTTTGCATTGCAGGACAAGAAGTTTGCAAAATTCTGGCAATGTCCAGCTACAGCCACTTAATGGCCCTCAGCGTTAACAACAATTGGGCAATTTACATTTCTGCACACGGTTTTTTGAGGCATATTATTCAGAGCATTTTAGAAAGCGACGGTGAATTGAAAGCAATGCTGGAGCCGGGATTCGGAAATGTAAAACCTTTATACTTATATCTAGCTAAAATGGTATTATTGACCCGTTTGGCAAGTAAGTCAACAGCAAAATATCAAAGGTGTGAAATCAACAATTATTGAACTTATTTCAGGTTCGAAGATGGGGGCCCAAATGCTACTAGAGCAGAAGCTCCTTGGTGTTTTTAGTAACATGTCCGTCTACAGGCTACATCCAGAAGTATCCACAGTTTGGAAAGGAGAAGAGATTCTGGACAACTTTTTGCCCGCGCCAGAACAACAGTACCTTCAAATGTTTATGCCTGCTTTGGATCTTTGTAACGCCATTCTAACAACCCTTGGCACAGAAAATCAATCGGCCATAACGCAAATCATGTATTTCTTATTTAGCCATCAAGATGTAATTGAACTTATCTTAAGGTATTCGTCTTTTTATTTACTATACACATCTATTAAAATACAATCGACTTTCTTTTCTAGATCCGGAGATACAGATTTATCAGCTACATCCCTCAAAGAGCTAGCGGTTTTGACTTCAGTAGTCTCCCGAGCCGCGAGTAACAATATGATCAATGTTTTAGAGAACCCTAACATAGTGTTGAGCAACAGGGCTCAGTTGTATCGGTTACAAAAACTGATGTTAAGTCTACTACCAAAATTCATGTTAAGCGAAGATAATATTAAAACGTAATTGTTCCACGTAACTTGTTCGCTTGGCATTAAAGCTCACAAATATTTCTTTCAATTTCAGGCTTCTTACACAGTCCAACGCGGAAAATACTTCCTATCCAACGTCGGATCGTCTGTTATATGCCTTGCAAGTAGCAACAAATGTTTTATGGTATGCACGCAACATTATTGCAAACAACGACGTAGAACATGGAGAAGTGGGAGTTCTTTTCTATCCTTCGCTCTGCGATCCACAAGGAAATATTTTCTCCAAAAAGATTCTGGGCCACTCCAGCGAACAAGAGCCAAGTCTAGGTAAGTAAGGAAAATTGGAAGATTTCTAGGCACTTACCAATGTTCGCACAGGGTTGGTTGTACAACAATTGATATACACAGTCACTTACATTCAGCAGCGCAAAGTCACTTTCGATCTACTAGCTAGAAAACTTCAGGATGTTCCAGACATGAATTCAATGGACTTGAGAGAGTTTATTGAGGATCATTTGGAAATGGCAGATTTGTCAGTGAAAAGAGAAAGGGCATTTGAAATTATTTCAGAGAAGTTGGAAAAAAAGGTAAGGCCTCTAGGTGAAAATTATTACAGAAGAGTATATTTGTTGATTATAGAAAAAGGAAATGGAATATTGCTCTTTCATAATTGAAAATGCGTTATACTTGATTTGGGCTCATTTGGACTACTTTATGTTGCGCGCCACTCCGAATCCTCGGAGCACCGTGTACATTCATCCGAATTCCATAGGCTCTTTAGATGGTAAGGCCTATTGCCATTTCACAATTGTCTATTATTTTGCAAATTATGATTTCATTCACAGCCACTGTACCTGCCAGTTCAGAATGTATCTGGAAAGTATCAAATGATGTTATAGTATCACTGAAAAGGAGACTCATTTCGATATTTAATGATAGCTTTAGCGAACAGCTATTGGAGGTGTCACAGGTAAGTCATCTTTGATTATTTTAGAACACAAACACTATCTAAACGTTAATTCAGGACCGCACAGAAGCCGATAGGGGATTTACCGAGGCTTTGCTGCGAAAATGTAAGCGACTTATACAATTTGTACGCGCTTTATAAATCACTTGAAACTTTAAACCAATGAATTTTGTGGGGTATTATCACCTACTGTGAAATTGTTCTTTTTAAGGGAAACTGGTACACATGTAATAGTTATGAATAAAAATAAAAAATTATGATTACCACGAAACTTTAATACTCTTATTTCAATCAAGCCTAATTACAAGTTATGTTTAGTATGTATATACTAAGCGCTAAGGTTTTGCAAACAATAGTTTTACTCAGAGGTAAAAAATATTACAGCCTAAGTCTCAAGTGGTAACGCCAACGCGAGTAGAAACTCAAAAATAACGGGTTTAATATGTTATTTAGCTAATAACTATTATTTATTAGTCGATTCTGGAGTGAGAAAAGTATGAAAACCATGTCCTGGAACTATACAGGAAACGATCAGCTTTATGAATGTTTCGCGTGCCTATTCCAGGGCGTGATTGTCTATTTCTCTTGCCTCTAGTGCACCAAGTATTCGACGAGACATAATTTTAAATAATGGTAAAATACACGTTCTACATTGCTTCTAATAGTAATATATCGTAACAATAGAGAGGTACAAACATCAATTGTGCTTACATGAGAATATATTCTGTTTGTCAGAGGAAAGTCGACCAATACGCGATATTTAAGATGAAAAACGAAAAGGGGAAGAAGAATCGAGAGAATTGGTCAATGCACAAGGCTATACTTCTGCCGTTGCAAAATGTCGGATACTGTGGAGCGCTAACTGTACTGTAACGTGGTCGCTCCATACCCTAAAACATTCAATAAAATCTTTCCTCGGCAGTTGCAAAATAAGGCGTTGTTACCCGGTAGTCGTTAAGGTCAGAGTTAATGTCTTCGTCAGAATATCCCTTCATAGCCTTAGTGGCTACGGGGCCCATATAATTGTTAACAACAGCAAACTCCATTAAGGACATGAACACAAACACTGAACAACTGGACATCCATACATCTATGGCCTTTACATATGAAACAGGCGGCAGCGACTGCTGTGACTGAGTATTTTGTGTCGCTACAAATGCATCTGTATACAGGGTGGTCCAGTTTCCGGAGCGGAAACTTCAGGGAATGATAGAAAATCGAAAAACAATGGCATTTATAAGATGTATTCGAGAAACGCTTCATTAAGCACATTTTCCAGTAAAAACTAAATTTTTGTTTTGTCAGTTGCATCCGTATTAACACGTTTATGAATGTATCACAACGAACAGTAAAGAGATTGTTCGAAATGTAGTTCACCCGCTTTAATACATTTTCGACAATGTCTAATGAATTTATTGCAGCTGATACTCGATCGGGATTTCGCTGCGTATCATTGCAGGCTTGCTGAATTTGCAAAACTAGATCATCTCTGGAGTAGAATAAACTTGGCCTTTTGCATGTTCCCAAAAGTAAAAGTCCAGTGGATTAAAATCCGGTGGTCTGAGTGGCCAAGCCGCCATTATCGCTTATTTCATTCCTTCCTTGTACTTCATTTAGTAGAATAACTCAGAATTTTCAAGTCAATCTGTGATGCACCTCGTCAACGAAAACTATAGGAATTGCTCGAAATGTATTACACGGAAGGAATGAAATAAATTACAATGTGGTCAATTGCATTGAACTTGGCCACCCAGATCACCAGATATAAATCCGCTGGACTTTTTCGGTTGGTAAACATGCAAAAGATCAAGTTTATTTTACTCCAGTTTAACCAGAGATGATTTATTTTTACGAATTAAGCAAGCCTGCAATGATATGCGGTAAAATCCCAGTCAAGTATCAACTGCAATAAATTCATTAGTTAGATGATGTCGAAAAATTATTGAACTACATTTCGAATAATTTCTTGTTGCTGTGATACACCGCCGATTGATTTTGTGTTTTTATCTTACAGTTTCATTAAATCAGTATCAGCTATTTTCCATTTTTTACTTGAAAACATAGTAGCATTGAAAGAAAACCTTTCCTCTAAAACTGTATGAATAATCCGAAAGGGATTTTTATTTTTTGAAAAAGCAGTGGGGTGACATTTTTTTGGTGACAAAATGTGCTTTCTTCGCCTGCAGTTATCGCGTGCAAAATATCCACAGCCACCAACAGTTTGGCAACAATTACTAAATTTGAGTTTTTTAAGTTCAACTGTTTTTGCTTGATAAAGGGTTTCTCGAATGCAGTTTATAAAGCAAACTTTTTCAATTCTCTATCGCTCCCTGAAATTTCCACTCTGAAAACTGAACCACCTTGCATATTTTCATGGGAAAATTTCGGAGTGCTATTATGTTTAAATTAGAAGTGTGTGCACACTTTAAGTTGGGTCAACACTTGCAATAAAACGCCTACCTAAAGTGAGGAGTGAAGTCACGCCTAGAGTGACTCTAGCAGGAATAGCTTCAGGTTTGATCCAAAAAGAAATCCAGGACATGACGACGATCAGTGCTGAAGGTATGTAGGTGTGAAACAAATGGTATCCCAAGCGGCGTCTCAGATTGAACACTACCGCTAAACATGTGAAATTTCCTGCAACAAACTGTGAACAAACAGGTAAGGAAAAAGCCTTTGACTAACCCGTAGAATACTCAATAGTGCAATCAGTCGTATAGTTATTGGATATATCCAGTTGCGGAAGTTCTATTTCAGGATTTACCACTAGAGGATCGGTCATATTCCATATAAAAACCAAGTCGTGATCGGTATGCGACACTGGAATAAACCATTATATAATTATGACGAATGCATATATTTTTTGTCGTTTCAATTTAGTCAAAAGCAGGGTTTTTGAACATTTGAACAAAAGTGTCCCTGCTCAGAAAATGCGCATTTGTGCATTGTTGTTTTAAGTAATTCAAAATTTTTCTCGTTTTTTACATAAACCCTTTATAAAATTTATTTCAAATCAGTTGCAGGTGTTGAAGTGTGTACAAGTTTTGAAATTTTAATCTGTGAGTTGTTGTTTCAAATAAGTGAGTGTTCGTGTTTGGACCATGAAAGAAAGTAGTTGAAGTTTTACTATTTCGTCTTGTTCCTGAACTATTCTGGACCTTAATGCCCGTACATCACTTTTTGGACTTTAGCTGAGCAACGGAGTTATTTTTCCGGTAAGTTTTTACCCATTTATACAGTTGTTATCACTTTGCATATCAATCTTGTTCATCTTGCGGCAAACGCCCTACCGATTTCGTTCGCTTCAGTTATTTTCGAACGGTTCAACTCCGGTCGATCCGGTTCAAAGTATACGTTCTGGGACGAACAGGTTGAATCTAGTTCTGTAGCGTTTTCTGAAAATGGCTCTAGACACTACCAACCGAAACGTTGTGATGAAAACATCTATGTAAGACAGTGGAAGTTTAAGGATGTTCAACCTGTTCGTTCCAGAACGTTCCGTACGTACTGGGTGGTCGATCGTACGGTCTGCCAACTGGAACGTGATTTAAAATCACGATAATAAAAAATAACAAGAAAAATGAAGAAATAGGGACCTACTCATAACGATCTTCGAATTTGAATACTCACTTTAGATTAACACATTGACCGATGAGGTGGTCACCACTTCCAGATTTTTTCTCGGTAATGTTGGGAAATAAAATGTATAGTCATTTTAACCCGAGAATAAATTGATCAAATAATTCATGAGGCCTTTGCAGAAATAAAACAAACAACCAAGTGCATTGAATCAGCGGAGGAGTTTTCCAATATTCGCGATGATTTCAGTTACTATCATCCTTAATCTGAATCTGATTTCGTTTCAAAGTTTTTTACAGTTTCTTATGCCAGCTATTTTTTCTGCTCTTTGTCTGATAAAAGATATTGCAAAATGTCTTTCCAGCTAAAATATCAACATAGTTTGGTTTATAAGATATTAGCTTTCGTTTCATGATTTAAAGTAATAAAGTTTAAATAAATTAGGAAACCAATACCATCCATTTTGCGTTCTATTATTGAAAAGTGAATTTAAAATTCGATATTTTTATATTAAAATATACAGGGTGTTCCTTTAAAAAATGAACTTAGGTCCACTAACCTTTTCACCTGACCCCGTATACGTATTGTGAAAACTTGTTATTCACCAATCATTCGAAAGAAACGTTTTCAGAAAACATTTGTCTGTATCTCCTATAATTAAGAAATTATAGGGACATTTTGAAATTGTCAATTTCTTGATTTTCCCCTCTATCTCTTAAGTGAGCAAAAATTCTCAAATTTTTATTGCCATTTTAACTTTGACCTAAAAGGAGCACATGGCACCTATACCACTTTTCTACCCTATAAAAGTGTCAAAAACGGGATACCCGTTACATAAATGAAAATGCGGCTGATGCTAAAAACTGATGAGTTTTTTGCGCTTTTAGGCTGTCGCGGCAGAAAAGTTTTTCTAACGTTTGAATCTTCAGGGGCGTTTCGCTCGAATGATTTATTCGGACTTGCATCTTTTATCCGGACAATTTCAGGCAAACGGTGAAAACGGTTGGAAACATTTTTATAGTGAAACAGCAATGAAAGACCGAATAAACGATTCAAATCAATCCAGTGTAAGCTGAAAGCTAACAGAGCGAAAACTCAGTTGCAAGCATTGGACGCGAAAGCCCAAGTCTTTTGATATATTTTATTTTTAATTGTTCTATTCGACTTAAAAGATTGAAGCTCTCATTACAACTGAAATACTCAAAACCATACTGAAAAGAATAAAACCGCGTTTTAATCGTTTAAACTGCTGCAACAAGTATGGCACATATTTGGTTCATAAAACTGCTATTAACTTTCTATGTAGAATCACATTTTTGAATATTCGCAGCTTTTTCTGGAACTGCGTATTATTTTTAATAATGAGGCAGAGTATAAATGTCTACGGAAATTCGCATATGTTAAACCAACCATGTTCAGTGTTTGACGCAATAATTGTATCGTAAAGTGTATTTATTTTAATCGGTATGAAAATACCTCGCGTAGTTTTTCACCGTTTGCAATTACCTTAATAGTAAAAAGTTAATACCTTTAAACTTCTTAAAGTTGCATGAAATTATTATTTAAGTATGTATTTTCCTCCATGAAACAATTAATTCGATTTTACAGCATTGTCAACAAATTTATGATCGTTTTTTTTTAATGATTTTCTGTTAAATTGATGATTGAATTGAGCTTCAACGTATACTTACAACTTTCTATCATCATTGAACAAATTTGAGTGTCATGAGGATAGGTTTCAAATTTCATTGCACAAGATAGAACAAGCGTCAGCCTGAAACATAAATGAATAGCAGAAACATTAAAAAAATAGAAATATCTAACTTAGACATGTATAGCAGGGTCTTATCGTGGTAGAGCCACAGATAATGATTGGGTATAGTCATTTCGTGAAATGTAACGCTTTTTGCATTTTTGAAAAAACAATCCGGCCTCCATATACTGTGAAGCCATTCTACATCTAAAATTCGATATTCTTCGCTCATGTTTTCAGGCAGTCGTAGTCTGGGATCCCGCCAGCTCTGTGCCAAGAATATGTCGGTAACATAAGTCTAAAAGTATTTAAAATAGTGTTTTCAAGCTGTGGAAATAATCGAATTTATATTTACCATTGATTCTTCGTTTATCGAGTCGAGAGACAGTACCGTAACATGAAAATAGACTATAGTTGGTTGGCCATGATATTTAGGGGCGCGATTTTTGTCATAGTGTTTCGGCCTCAACGGTAAAATATCTCGCAAAGATAGACTGGTTTCTTCTGCATAGTCCCGCATTTTATTATTGGAATGATCTCTGAAAAAAGTAGCGAATCACTGGATTTTCAGAGGTTTTTTTTAAAGATAAATGATGCACACTTACGAGTTATGACTACTCATTATCCCAGATAAGCACAAATATAAGAAAAGGAGAATATTCAACCTTACATCTAAACACATTACGAAAATATAACCCTATCTGTACACCACTTGCAACTGAGCTGTTAATAATTAATTAGATTAACACATAATCCCATTTTAACATTAGTCATACGAAATAGGTATGTTCTGTTGGAAAGTAGAACAACTGTTTAGGATTCGGTCTCCAATGGTGGAATTCGAAGCAAATTTGTTCTGATTTTGCACAGAAATGTTACTTTTGTTCATAAATTGTGCAAGCATAAATCTATTAACCACAGGAAACATGTAAAAATGCAAATTCAGTATTAAAAAACACTGCCTGCGGCTGTATAAATCTATTTCGTTCGGGCTGCTTTTACTCAATTACATGATCATTTCAAATTTACACCATTTCTCCATTTCACGTGAAATACAGGGAATAAAACAAGCAGTAAAAACGAATTTTATTTTATTTTATATATAAATCAGGTAAAAACTTTATGCGGCAAATTTACTATGTCATTGCAAATAAATTAAAAATATGAAAGTACTAAAAGAATTTAAACTAAATTAAATCTATAACAAAGAGCTACTCTTCATGGCCGATAAACACAATTGGTTTTCCCGTTTTTAGCACGCGTAAACTGGAATTTCTTCCTAATTTTTGCTTCAATTCCGACTGTTCGTATTCTTCATCAGTTGGGCCCAAATAAGCCGGTTGGGACTGCTGTGATTGCTCCTGTTGTCCTGAATATTGTTGGCTTCGATACCTAAATCAACGTGTTAATACATTATTGCTTCATTGTACATACTTTCCTGACTGTGTTTCAATTCCAAATCAAAATCATTTCCTGGGCTTTAGTCATTTATTGTCTATTTATCAATTAAAATACGTTTCGGTGTTTTCCACCATCATCAGTTTCTATGTGTAGCGTTGTTGCTACATTAAGCCTTGGCATATATAAAATATTATACACACATTCTGGCCGTTTGATTGAATATATACTGGGGAACTGTTGAGGTAACCTCGGCAAATCACACATTCCAGATATTCTAGAAGATTGTCTGGGACATATACGAGTCTAATTTCTAGGAAATAAATTACTGTTAAAGCAAAGTAAGATTTGCACTTTTAGTTTGTGCTTCAGGATTACTGCTTTTCTAAACATTTCTAACATGGTTGTTTTGATGTATTTTCTTTATATTTTGGATAGATTTACTTTTAAAATAGTTTTCCAGTCAGAACTAAAAAGCGGAATTTAGCAACATGATGATTGATGCAAGTTGATATTGAAAGCAAAGAGTAGGTGGTTGGTCAATTTATCGCAAAAGCCCCAAGAGGAATCCGGATAGTAGAAGTTGAAAATTGGGTTAATCCAATTTGCACATTTCAAGTTTAGTTTATTTATTAGGATTATTTCTTATTTCAGTTGCTGATTAAATTTAGTTTTATTGCACTTATTTTTATAGCTGTCGGATTTCAAATGCCTCCTGAATTCAATCGAATGTGGCATGCAGTTTATTTTATACTATTTATAGTAAAAAGAAATAATTGGAGAATTTGTCGTATAGTTGCTGTTGACTTCATATTGGTTTTTGTCTTCTAATGGTGATTTTTAACTGACTTTGTCAAGGATCTATCTACTTCTTAAACATTTTTGGAAATATCAGCAATCTGATTTATAGTTTAAAACACTTTCTTTCTGTTTTGGCATATATAAAATATATGCCAAGGCTTAAAGTAGCAACAACGCTACACATAGAAACTGATGATGGTGGAAAACACCGAAACGTATTTTAATTGATAAATAGACA